GGCTCCTGCCCGGCTGCTGCGCTGCTGCTCTGGCCTTCGGACTGAAACACAACGGGTGAGAGCTGTCACACAGAACTTTTCATCTCTTGTCAGCAACAGATAAAATCATAACGACTAAAACATGCTCTTCAGATAAGTGTTAATACATGTCACTAATAGTTACAGGATTGTTATAGCTGGTTGTTTCTGCCCATACGCTATCCTGAGTAGAAGTATATTTCAAGCTGAAAATCAGCAGTCCTATAGACAAGAGAAGGCTGAAGGAAGTCTGCCAAAGTGTATTTGTGTTAGATATTTCAAATACCTTTGTCAAGGATTTGTTTTAACTCTTTGCTGCTCAAGAAATCCTTTAAGTAGTTATATCTCTGAGGATTTGCAATGTCACCTATACTGAAGGGGAAACAAGACAGGGAAGCCAAAAGAAGGATGGAGAGAAGTCCAAGAACTGTAGTTATGCAGTGCTGCAGTGCTTCCTGTGGACATCTGAGTCCAGAAGTCTGCTCTCATCACCACCACCACCACTGAAAAACCAAAATGAAAATCCTGACCACAAATCACCCGATCCCAGCAGGAGTTCTGGAGCACAGCACACGTGCTGACACTTACCTATTGCCCTCTGCTGGGTGAACTCGGTCTGGCATTACAAGTACTAAAAAATACACTTTAGCAAATGATGTTCTGCTCATGAGAATTTTATGCTGAAGAAAACAAGTTTCAATCTTATGGACTAGAAAATATGACATCTGATCTCCCACCAGACTAATCCTGCTTGCAATACTAAAAAGCTCAAACTTCCAAGTTTAATATTAAAAATAGTAATACAGTGCAGTCATTAGAAATAAGAACTTTCACAAAGTTCTGTTTTAAAGTGTTTAAAAAAAAAGCTCTGAGAAAAAAATGCAGGTTTTTAAAATTTTTAAGTTTCATTTTCAGTCCTCAGAAAATAAGGTTTTCTGGTATTCCTACTTAAACCAATTTGCAGCTATTTTCCAGAATTAGCTTTCTCCTCCTTTCCTTCTACAAGATTATTGTAACAGCAGGTTAAACTAGGATTCTGGACATTTTAGATTTTTTCCAAAGCCTTCTAATGGACCCAATATCCATAACCTTAAGCACTACTTCAGCCATCTACTATACCCATAAAAGATAACCTTTCCACATGACTAAATGGGGAATGCCCTCAACTGCATATCAGATTTGACAATCCACAAGATGGTGAACAGCACTTGGGATTGTGACTCTTCTGTGTGTGGATAAAGAATTCAGAATTTCCACCTAGTTGGTGATTTGTCTCACCAAGGGAAGAGGCCTTCCGTTCCTACCTCATCATTCTATTTCCCACTGTTTATCATTTGCAAGGAAGCACTGATGCAATTACTCTCCACATTTGGTAACTTGCTGTTTACACAGGCGTCTAGCCTAAATAAGCAAAGCAGCTTGGGTACCTTCAAAGAAAAATGTTTTTAAAAGATAAATTTTATCAGCAGAGACAGCCAAGAACACCACAAGCAGCCTGTTGTGATTTCCAGTACACTGCAGAAGAAAGTAATTCTGCTTCTCACTTGAAAGCTCCTCATGCCAAGGAAAAGAAAGACTTGGGGAGGCCAAGTCTTTGAGAAATGAAGTTCCTAGAATCATCTACATTCCCATCTTCCAGAAGGTGAGAGGGAGAGAAGTGAATTCAGGAAACAAGAACTACCACTACCAATTCAGTAAGCAATGTTTTTCTTCCTCAGACAGTTTTTAAAGATATAAAAAAGTCTAGATATCTTCCTAATCCTTTATCTTACTAACAAAAGTAACTAGCACTGGCTGTCATACACATCTTCTCAATACTGCAAAACTTAAATTTAAAAATAAAACAGAAAGGCCCTGTTCTGAATATAACAAGCTGACATGAACAGATCTGTGATTCAAGAGAAATCTCACTGACAATTTCAAGGCTTTAAGTTATTTTTCTGAGGAAATTATAGATGGATTGGGCCAACAGCAGACCAAAGGCTTCACTCAAAGCTCAGCTAATGCACCACCTTGGGATTCCCAACATAATCAATGGCCAACTATTACCAGATGTGCAGAACAAAGCTAAGAAAGGAGTGATCATCATGACCCGATATAAATTTGGGTCCAGGTGCTACAGTATCTTAAGTAATAGAGATGACAGATAGATAGATAGATAGATAGATAGATAGATAGATAGATAGATAGATAGACAGATAGATAGACAGACAGACAGATAGATTTTTTTGTTTGAAGACACAATTGTTAAGAATGCCAAAAAATGGCAGATGGGCTTCACTATTAAAAAAGAAAAATCACAATCATCTTGTCTTCAACTTAATGGCAAGTCTTTAAACTCTTCATAAGCAAGCATTACAAGATTTTTAGACTAACACAACACCTCATATGACACAATTTCCATTGTTTCTGCCAAATAATGGTTTCTGCCAAACCATACTGGAAATGTAGATGAGGGCTTAACAGACTAAAGATAGAAATATTCAATAATACTTACATTATAGCTACCCTTAGCATCTGATCTTTACAGACATTTAAAACACACGTCACATTATTAAATACTATTTATATTGCTACATGTCACATTATTTCTGAAGCTTCCAAAACTGTTAGGACTGATAGAAAACTTTGCTCCAAGGACATCTAAACAATTATTTGATGAATAAGCTATTTCAGTAAAATGTACTTCTATGAGAACTAACAAAAACTTGTACCATCTAAAAAAATGCAAGTAATGAAAATTATATCATGTTCAGTCTACTGAAAAATGATAGAATTCATTGCATCCTTTATATCTCCAGTTCATTATTTTAAAAATTTTTATCAGAATACTAGAAGGATATTTAATAATCTTAGAAGGGATGTTTTAAAAATACAGCAAACTCAGGAACTCAGGACCATATAAATCCTGTGGGTTACTGAAGCCTCTTTCACTTATACCAATGGTCTGGGGAGAGATGCAGAAATCAGGATAGGTGCAACATTTGTTTGCCTGTACAACTTCTAACTGAAGAAACACTAAAGTTTGACACAGCATGGCTTAATGGCTAATACGAAAAATGACAGGTTTTTAATCAATCAAAGTTGGGCCAAGTATTCTCAACTGTCAAGACATTTAAAATGGTTGCTGTAGCATTACAGAACTAAGACATCACTTAACAGAGATAAAGGGTAACACTTTTTTGCCAATATATTATTCAGAACTTATAAGTTAAGGGCTTTATAAATCTCATGCATCAGAACATAGCCTCATTTTCTGACAGAAACTTCCTTCATCAGCTAAAGAGTAGCTGGCTTCAGTTACACTGTTTAGTTTATCACCTTCATAATGCTTCATCCAGTCACTATCATCAGTGCAAGTCACTACTGTAAGATACTGCTTAATAACAGGTGTACTGAGGCTTAAGGCATTCCCAGGTTATCAGAAAAGCCTACCTACAGTTTTTACCTTGTTACTTAATAAAGCTCCCAAAGCATCGACTTTATTCATTAGCTACAAGCCCCAAGGTGGGACATCATTCCATATCAATGCACCAAATGTATTGCTACAGATTTGGTGGAAGTTTAGACACCCATAATCCACAGAGATTTAGTCTGTGCAATCAGGGGTGAGACAGAAATGCAGCCCACCAGCCTCTGCTGCTGAGCAATCTGCACTGCTCTCCAGCCTCCACTAATGAGTCCCACTGTGATCAGAGTTTTGGTACCAAAATTTAGGTGACCACTGCACCCGAGTCCCACCTGAGTATCTACAATATATTCCTTCTAAAACATTGTTTTGCTCAGATGTGGAAGGATTTCACCTTAATACTACCGCAGTTATTTTTATCAAGCCAGCTTTCAGCAGCAGTACCTTACTTGCACTTTGAATACTCAAACAAGAATAACACATCATCACTTTGCCCTGAGTAGACATCAACAGCTACTACAAATAAAATAAAGTACTGTCAGAAGTAGTCTAGTCAGAGGTATTTTCTGCATTCAGTTCAGACTCCTCACAAACACTGCATAATGCCTTAGGTAGCCTATTGTTTTAGTTTTATTAATGCTAAAGACTGTTCTCTGCAGCTCTGTATCCTTTCAGACGAGTCTCTGCAGCAGCATTTTCCAGAGCAGGGTTGTTCCTTTCCTTGTTCTCATGCTGTTGTACTCGTTGCCTTGCACCTGGCAAACCTCAATGATGTTGTGACAGGTTCTCCTGGGAAGCAGGTCTCACTGGCATGAGAATCAACCCCCTCCCCTCCCTCTTCTTCCTTCAAAAGTCAGCTGTTTAAAGGCTGGATGAATGTTCTCTAATAATCCAGGCACATAAAACTTAACAGCCAATGTGCAACATCTGCACCAGTGCTGCACACTCCAGTCATTACTAACAAGACAGCGACTGGGAACAACCACTGCTGGTCTGGCAAAAAGACAAGAGAAGGTGGGAGGAAGGGAAGTGACCTGGAAGATGTGGTCAGGCAGGGAAAGCCCAAAGTCAAGAGCTCTGAGTGCACCTTCCCCACAGCACAGACAAACACATCCACGCAGCAATTACACAGTAAGTATTTTCAAAGGGCAACAATCTGTGAGGTTGAAGTACTGAGTAACAAAATGACTCAGCCAAAACATAAACAACAGTTTCAAACTGAGTTTTGAAATCTGAAAAACATACAGTTAATGGACATACTGTAAGACTTGGTCCTTCTTTAGTCAGTGAGGCAATAATCCTTTCCCTAGGTGAAAGACGACAGAAGGGAGAGCTAATTAAAAATACTTCTCTTTCTGATGGAATGAAAAATTCTCTCTTCAGGAATAAGGCCCCACGTGGAACAAAGAAATGGACACAAAGTGATGCCATCACAGAGACCCATTTCAGAGTGCTCCTCACACAAAAATTAAGTTAGCCCTCTCCCAGGAAGGACATTACTGTGATCACAAATATCTTGCCATTAACACACTTTAAAAATCTGGCCTTTCAATCAACTTAAAGGTAAAAAAATCGTGGAACTGATGCTGGAAAGAACAAACTCGGCCATGAAGCAATCCCATAGTAAAATGCAGACTACAGATTCCTTCACCTTCACCTAGAAGTGACCCTTCCCTTAGCACCTATTTACCATTGTGACTTTAATGAAGACTGGTTACAACTGTTCTAGGAGCAGAAGAAAGGTAACACTCTATTTTTTTTTGTATGATTACTTTGAGTATTCACCTCTGTATTGCCTAGAAAGACAAAAGGTCCCATGACTTCAGAGTGAGACACATTAATCCACTATATCAACAAGTTAATACAAGGATTCAGCATTGGCCCCATCTCTCCCCTTTTTACTCTCTAAGAGAGAGTAAACCCAGCAAATTTTCTACAACAGGTTTAAATTAGGTACACGTTTGTAGAGTAAGTGGCAAACATTTTATCCACAAAGAGAGAATAGTATGTTTTGGTGTTGCCCAAATCTAACACAACTTATTAAGGCAGAATTAGGTCTTTACACAACAAGGACTCAATAAAAGGATTTTACACATGCAGGAAACCCAGCTGAGTAGAAAAGATCTGAGGTTTGCATGGGAACTCTTTCACACTCTAAGCAGATCAAGGCCCAGAGTGCCCTACTTTGAAAATATTTCTATTACCTTTCACATTAATAAGAACACAAAAATAGCAAGCTCAGATTCCTTAAAACAGTCTTTCCTGTTACACATTTCTTTCTTCCACTGTGTGGCTATTTTCCACTACTGAATGGCTCCAGATAATTCCTACCACTCAAAATGTGACAGTTCAGAAACACAGATTGATTCAAACTAACACTAACAATCCTGAATATTAGTTCAACTCCCTAAAACATGAACCCTCTTATCATTTACAGCTGATCACATATATTAATATTTTACATACACTTACGTTTATATGTTTAAAGGTCTCATTTCCCATAGGACTGATCTTCTGAAGATTAAATTAATCATTAATTATTAAATCAGTATAACTAGATAAAACTAGTTTTCTTAAAAATGTGATTAATTTTAAAAAGTCTCTCTCCTCAAGAAAATGCCAGCAATGCCTTGGTGTATCAGATCTTTCTACTATATTAGCCAGGATTTGTACTAAGAATAATATAATAAAATGGTTTATTAAATCCTGAACAATCTGGAAAAATTTCTTCCCCCTTACTGTGGGGGGAAGAAAGTTTGCTATTAGCATATTTATATTTCTACATAGCTTGAAAACATGTTGCAAACACACAACAGATGTTATTGGACGTGTTGTAGGTTTTTTAACCAATCTGCAGCCCCATCCTCTCTAAAAAAGGCAGCTTAGCTGGGATTTGCCTGCAGTTTATCAGTGAATTTAGACTGCATTTGCAACAGTCGTTACAGCAGCTGCCTTGGCCCACCACCAGACCTCAGTCACTTCTGAAACCTTTATGTAAGCCCTACACCTAGCAGTATTAAAATATAAGTGTCATATTTCAAATAGTAAGAACATTTTAGACTAACTTAAGAGGTTATAAAACCCAAGAAGATAGTATTGATTAATATTTAAAAGCTACAGGTTATCACTGAAACATTTTTTGCCTCTGGCTAAGAATTCTGTAGAGAAAACCTGTGCTACATTACACAGATGGTAAATTGTAGTGCTTCAGACACCATAAAGTTTTAATGAAGACAATGTAATTAAAGGAAACACTGGAAAGAAGAACCGCTAAAAGAACATTATTTCTTGTTTTAAGAGAAGAAAGTGAAAGCAAAGGTTGCTATTTCTAAAAATGATTCAGCATACTATTTGTTAGCAGATTTTATATAAAGGTATGCAGGAGCTCCAGCATAAATATATGAACTACATACTTTAATCAAGACTCCAATCAGCTTAAGAGGACAATTTAATAATCAGACTCTGCCCAATAAAGCTCCAAGATGGACCATACCGTTGCACTTGCTGGATCTGGGAATGCTCTGGCTGCACCATCCTGCTGGGGCTCACGTGAAGTAGCAGAGTGATTCAGCCCTGATGTCTTTGAGGGTCCAGCATCAGATCTCCTGGATGAATTGACCTCTGCCTACAAGAAGCACACATCACAGACAGGATCAAAATTGCTCCAAAACAATTTGGCTTATTTTGGAACGTGTATTTCTTTGCAGAGAATATGAGGCTTACCAAAATGTAATAATCAGGTGTGCCAGCTGCATTCTGATGACACAGTAATAAGTTTAAGAAATTTTCATTCTTTAAAAATAAGACTGCAAATGTGCAAATAACAGTTTAAAACCCAATTTTGTTTGCGCATATCAAATGTAACATTCAAAAAAAAGCACAGATGTAGAGAGCAAAAAATAAAAGTCTTTAGAAGATCCAGGACATTATGCCAGAATAACACAATTTTTAAAACTTTTGTTTTGCATGTCCTTAAGACAATGTTGGCCTACTGTTGATACAAGTGAAGTAGCACAGCCTGCTCCCCCACAGGACTAAAGAGCCTCTGGTGAGTGTCAGTGTAATCTGGCTGTACTGCTTTCAGTACAAAGCTGCCTCACAGACAGAGGGGGCATACATGTATGACACTACACTGGGTAGTATTTGCATACCAGTGTCCACTATTTAAATTTCAGCACAGAGTAAAAGAAAAAATTCAAGTCTTTCAATACTGCTTTCATACACATTTACAAAATGTCTACTGCACATTATTTCCCAGAATTTAGGTTTCATTTAGGAAATCTGAGACAAGAGACCAGTAGGGACATATAGAAGAATGCAAACTCCAGAATATTTGCCAGCAATAATCTCTTGGGAATGGAAAAGGATATACCATCATAGTGCTGAACTGGAATACTTCTAAAATTTACACATGTCAAAAAAAAAAGGGAAGTCTTGACCAGATCAATTTTTATCAGTAACCAAGTCACCTCTCAAGTCATGTGTCTAGATCCCAATTTATTACCAAATGACAACTTCAAATCTAGTCTTCAAATGCAGACATGGTGGTAGTGGTGGTAGTAGTAGCAAGAAATACAAACAGTGTATTAGAAAACAACCAGTTACAGTGATAACAAACTGGTAAGATCACAGTATAATAGTCTTTCATGATATTATTTAGTGTGAGGAAATTAGGTTCTCTGTTTCTTTATATGTATTACCTTAAGAGAATCCAAAAAATGCACCAAAACAATCTGGAGATGGATTTAACATTTGAAAACTTAGAATCTGCTAAGAAGACTGCTTTGTCTTTGCACTTAACTATTATGAACTGTAATATTAGACAGGAAAAGTTATGATTCAAATATGGATCATCAACAAAGCAACACAGAATTATGAAACATTTAGACTGGAATGGAACTCCAGATGTTCCTGGTCCAATTCTCTCTAGAGTCATGTGAGACAAGTTTTGAGCATCTCCAAAGCTGGGGGTTCCAGAGTCTCTCTGGGTAGTTCTGCTCCAGCATCTGACAACCCTCAGGGTGAATCTTTCTTTCCTATCCCATCGTAAGTTCCCCAGAACCAGAGGACCAATTTTCATACTCTTGCTTCTTTCAAGATGAGCTTATTTCATCTTTACTGTTGATCTCTATAAAGCAGTACCAAATGTGCATTTGATTTACTATAGTTTATGAAAGTACTAAGTCTAATATCTAGACAGAAGTGAGACTAACATTCAAAAGATGACCAACATCTTTAAACATATGAGGGTGAGCAGAGAATTTTACTGCAAAATATGCCTTGTGATGGCAACATGAAGGGAAACCATACTGTTTTACAGTGACACATATCCTATTAGTGATTTCTTTTTCTTTTTCCCTGTTTTAAGCAAAGTGAAATTTCTGCTATATAACACCTAAAACACAGGAAACTATTTAGAAGTCAATATAAAACTGATACAAAATACAATTCACTATTAAAACAGACAGGAACAAAGGTGGATGCTCACAGAATCAGGAAAACTGTAATGAGAAGACGTGTTGGGGTCTTTTCCCCCTCCTGAATTTCATATTCCTATCTCAATGACTTTAAAAAGTTACCATCTTGTTTAAAGCTGGTAAGAAACACAATAACCCTGGGATCATCTACACATAGTTAGGAAACCTCTTAATAAAGGATGAATGCAGAGATTGCTAGTATGTTTGCTAGTAGAGAGACTCTCTCAAATTATACACTCAATCAGCAATCTGATGTTAAATACTACCCCATAAATTGATATGAAATGTATCCAAATGATTAAAAACTTATTTATTTTCTGCTAGTAATTCATACTATTAGTTTATTACAAACACATCAATTGAACACCTCTGCCTAACAACAAAAGATAAGAAAGTCAAACAAAGCAGAGAAGCAGGAAGCTTAAAAAATGCCAACCACTAAAATTTGATTTGAGAAGGGAAGAAAAGTGCAACCAGAGAACAGAACTGATTTACCTTATTAAAAAAAAAAAAACACAAAATCACAATGGATGGTGAAAGGCTGTAGAAACCTCAGGCTTTCATTCATTTTTTCTCCTGACAAGTGCTTGTTCTTAGGAGGTGGTGTCAAGCACACAGATACATGGAAAGCACCTGTATTCTTTAAAAACTGATATCTCTAAGCCTTTAATTTTAAAACTGAAAAATGTATGAAAACATTGTTTTCATGTAAGTTATGAGTTCTTTCTCACAAAAGAAAAAGCCAAACAAAACCAAACTCTGATATTTCTAGAATTTCTTTGAAGATTAGCAGTTCTGAAGTAAAAAACAAACCTACAACTTTAAACCCTTATATACGGTAAAAAAGCCAGGAAAAGGCAACCCATTGTTTCTCCAAGCAGTTCAGCTTTAAAATTCTGTCCCTTTTTTTTGTATCTTTGTAAAATATTTGGAGATGTTTTTATTCTAAGTGTTATGGCATAGGAATATGCACATCCTGCAAAACTGTCAGGAATGCTCAGAAGACAATCTTTACTTTCCTGGCACACACAAAAGAAGTAAAAAGTAGCCTTTAGGACACTATTAGAAGAACATGGGTGATAAAAGGGGACATATTGGCAGCCCTGACCTTAGTGAGGATGTGTTCTACACCAATGCCACATTGTCATATTGTAACTGTAGCTCCCTGCCCTCATGCACAGTAGTCTTCCTTAGTGGCTGATTTAAGAGTTTAGTGGAAAACCCAGTGAAAAACAACACTGTGCATGCAAGACATGCAATTCTCTAAGGAATGTATTTGTCTAAACAAACCTTGCTTTCACTGAAACACAAGCTAGAGAACACATTTCTCGGTCACAGCAACTTCCATACCAGAGTTCAACTTTCAGTATCTTCAGATAGTAGCAGAGTAGTTCAAAAGAATTTGCAACCATTTTTCAGTAGTAATATGTTTTATTCCTTCCATAAGCCAAAAGGAAAAAAAAAATCACAAAGGTAAAAAATTTAGGTTAGCTTTCCCCAAACTTTTGTCACACTTTTATGATAAAACTAATTCTGGAGAATTTAATCAAGTTGTTAGTGTTGGAAAATGTGGAAGTAAAAGCAACATAGGCAGTTTTTACCACAGTGGTTACCACTAAAATTAAAACTAATCAATCAGTGCTTGAGATGCACAACTTATTAAGCAGCAAATTTCAAGAAATCCATTCTTATTTTCTCTTTCAGACTATACTGAAATAAACAGGCTTCCACATAGCAATTGATGAAGGTCTTCTGAAATGATGAATGTTTCTGTGATTTCCAAGTTTTTCCCTCAGTATTTTCTTTTCTAATTCTATACAAGAGAGATAAAAGTTTAAACAGTGACTTTACCTTGAAGCTAATTTGCCTGGCAAGCTCTTTAGCCTCCTTGTCTGCCTGGCTTGACACACTTCCAGATGTCAGTGGTAAGAGGGCTGTCTTCATAGATGTGCCACACATTTCACAACAGAAGTCTTGTGACCTGCCCACAAATGACATAGCTCAGAATAGCATGTTCTCAGTGTTCCTGTGTGCTTGTTTAATAAACTATTTGCAGAACAATCCACAGAAAGACAAGTGGTAGCAAGGCCAGTAACTTAGAAATACTTCCCTCTGCCTCAAATCACACTATCTTGAAAAAATATGTTGAGAATTATCTATATTATATTATCTATATATAACACAAATTCTCTTACGTCATTTGGGAAAGTACTGACAACCGACTTAAATATCACTTTTATTTATACTTTATTAATAATTTCTTACAATTAAAATACTTATGTCTGCAAGAAATAAAAACTATAAATTATGAAGATTTAACTGTTATTACAAATGTTATACTGGACCCAGGAGCTTGCACCTCCAATCCAGGAATTTCAGCTTCCTGGAGAACATAACCTTCCCACACCATCTCTCTATAGGGCACACTGCAAGTGGCTCTCCAGGCCAGCAAGGAACCACAGAGACTTGACAGCACAGTACCAAGACCAACCTACCCCACTGACTCACTCCTGTTACTGAATGCCACTGAAAAGAGCCTGGCTCTACCTTTTTTACAACTTCCTTTCAGATAACTGTACATATGGATATGATCCCCTGAACCTTCTCTTCTCCAGGCTGAACACTCCCAGCTCTTTTACTATCTCCATGGCAGAAACATGTTCCATCCCCTCAATCACCTCTGTGGCACTGCACTGAATTTGCTCCAGGACGTGTTGTCTTTCTTGTACTCTGACCTGGTCACAGCCCCACCTGAGCCCAGCACTCCTGGTGTCTCACCAGTGCTGAGTACTGAGGTAGGATCACTCCCCTTGACCTGCTGGCAATGCTGCTCCTTGTGCAACCCAGGACACCATCAGCCTTCTTGGCTGCAAGGGCACCCTGCTGCCTCCTGATCAGCATGGTGACCACCAGAATCTTCCCTTCCAACTCCCTTATAGTCAGCTAGTCAGCTGGTGCTATTCCTCTACAGGGGCAGGACTTTTCTCTGATATTCCTCCAGCCAGCTGAGGCTCCTCTGGATGGCAGTACAACCTTCTGGTGTATCAGCCACTCCTCCCATCTTTGTATCACCAGCAAACTTGCTGAGGGTGCACCCTCAGTAAGTGTCCCATTATCCAGGTCATTAATGACACTGAATAGCACTGGCCCCAGCACTGACACCAGGAATACACCGATAGTGACCAGCCTGAAGCTGGATTTTGTGCTGCTTATCACAATCCTTTGAGCCAGGCAGCTCAGCCAGTTCTTAATCTACCTTACTGTCCCCAACCACCTAGGCTGTACTCCATAACTGAGGATAACAGAAAGGACACCAAAAGCCTTGCTGAAGTCCAAAAAACAACACTCACTGCCTTCCCTTTGTCCACTAAGCCAATAATTTCATCATAGTCACAAACCTAATCGTAACTTCCTAAAGATCATTTAGAAAAAGTTGCTTCAGAATTTTGAAGTAATTTTATTATTACTTAAAGACAATTATACATCATTATTTTGGTTGTTTTCTCCCCCCTTACTATTAATTCCATCATACCCATTTTCTCTCCATGCTGCAATTAGTACTGTATCACAATGTTAATTACAGCTCCAAGACTGAACTTCAGACAAACCTCAAATATGACCACACAATACTGGAAGGAACGAAGTGCTCTCAAAATATTTTGTTTGACTGCAAGTTCCAGGTTTGCACAATACTCTGAGAAAAAAGTGACCGCACATACAAGGCATCAAACTTGTTTTATTTGGAACAGATAAGATAAAGACTGAAGATAAGAGACTAAAATAGCTTATTTTCTACTCAATGCATTACCCTAAAAGTGACTGAATGTAAATGTACCTACAATAACAAACTTAACACTTACTTCTTTGCAAGAGCTCTTCTTTCTTCTGGTGTGTAATCTAGAGATCCTATTGCTCCTTCACCTTTGGTTGGCATAAATCCAATGATGGCTAGTAAAGCTGTTCTTACTAAAATGGGAAAACAGAGATATAAACAAAGTGGCAGAAACAACAGTTATGTAATCGCATTCCAAACTTGGCAAAGTTGAATTTCTGACTGCAAAACTTCATTCTGCCAAGTCTGAATTTCCTACAAGCAGCACTGGTTTGGGGTTTTTTTGGTACACTGCAAGGCTTCCTCAATTCTGTTTTAAGACAAGGTGGTAAACAAAGAAAATGCCAACAGTCAACAGAGAAGAAAAAAATTAATTGTCACAAAAATGTTGCATTAAGGTGAGTGTTCCAGACTTTAAAAACTGTGAAAAAAAGTAAAGCAGAACTAACATATAAAAAGTGGTTCAGGGGAGAAGGGGAGCAGGGGCAGAGGAAAAAGATAAGACGGTTCACAGGGAATTTTTTTTTTCTGTTTTCTATTAGACATGAATTCTGCAATTTAGTGCACACATGCTAAGTTTTTCTTTTTTGTAAAGTATTGCAGAATTTGTTCCTTTATGTCATCATAAATAGGGGAAGGAGCTCACTTAAAATATTAATAACTGTTTGTAACAGAACTCATCTGTTCTTCATCTGAAGCATCTCTGATGACAACATCTGTACTTGGACTTTGTTTTACAGATGTAATGAAATTTAAGAATTCAAGACACTTGTCAATACAGCTGGTAAATAAATATCCCATCAAAATAAGTACCACAGAAAAGAGACAGAATATATACAACTACTTAGAAACACAGTATTTTCTACTCTTTAAAAAAACATTGGAGACGTAACAAAAGTTGAAGAGTGGTCTGCTAGAAAACTCCTAAAATCTTACTAACATATTTTAAAAGTGAAACTGATATACAAATAATTGATATACTGTACTCAGCCAAACTAAAATTACTTGAACATAAGCATATTGCCTTGGATGAACTGTGCCAGCTGTAATAACAGTATTTTTAAAAATAAAGATAAGAGAAAATTCAGTTATTCTGAACTCAGACCACATTATCTTCCTCTTGAGTGCTCAGAACCACATCATTAGAATTGAAAACTCACTTCTATTATTATTCAAGCTGGCTTAGCGATCATGCAAAAACAGGGTAAAGTAACAGGATTTATTTTTGTAAGAAAAATTTTAACCAAAACACACAAAGAATGTTCTAAGTAGTCTGAGAATTCTTAAGGCTTATGTATCCAAGTAAAGAAGAGCTTACCATCACCCCTCAGCTTCTCAGCCCTGGCATTTACTTAAAAAAGAGAAGCCCAAATCATTCAATTTCACTCTTTTATGACATTACATTTGACAAATTCTCCCATAATTTTACACCCTCAAAATCTGTCTCCTCTTGCACTATAAACATTCTTCAGGAGATTTTTTTTTTAGTTTAAAGAACAAGTTGTTTAATGGGGGTAACATTTATCAAGGAACTGTTACTTACTACTCCACGAAGGCTGCCATGTTTCAGGATGATGCCCTGAGATGCTTAAACAAATTTTCTTCCCCACTTCAAACCTGCCATTTGCCTTGAAAGGAAGAAGGAGGATACAATAAAGCAGGCCAGCAGTTAACTCTTGAGTTTTTGTAAAAGTTGTAAAAATCATGATTAAAAGAATTCCATACACAAACAATATGTGACAATTTTACTACTGCCAACACCATAAAATTTCAACTTGCTTCTTGAAAACAGAACTCTGTCATCTGAGTCTATTAATGCATGAAGAAAACCTTCTACAAAACTATGCACAAAGGAAGGCCTTTGCCTCAAATTACAGGTCTGCCTTCCTACATCTGAGCAATGTGTTCAACAGAAACCAAGCAGGCCCATGGGGAGAACAGAAGGCTAGAGAATCACATCAGCAATGTGACTGCTCCCAGAGGAAAGAACTTCCATTTATTAGGCATAAGGCTTCATGCAATTAAGAGATAACAAAAAAATCTTGAAAGACTTTGGATCTTCAATTATAGTGTATGTGCCACCTTTCTTACAAAAATAACATTATGTTAAATGCCAAGAATCTCCCTATGATAAAACTGATAACAATAAAAAGGAAAAATGAGAAAGCATGCTTACTTACCGTCAGCAAAATAATGCTGGGTGGTTTCATGGGATATTCAGGTGGTAGCACTATTCGCCCATGATAAATCCCTCCATCAAAATCTGAATCTGGAGGGCCTCTAACAGTGAAGTGCCATTCAAAAAGATTGTCCTAAAATGCCCCCATCAATGGAAGAAGGCGGAGGGGGAAAAAAAAGAAAAAGTGTTCATCACAGAAATAGGCAAGTTGATGTCATTTTCTTGAACAAGGACAGGCTGAAGAACCAGTACACAGGCAGAAGTTTTAAGAAGCCAACATCAAGTAGAGAGTTAAGAGAACACAGCACTAAGGATAAAGCAATGTAGGGTTCTGGTAATTTTCTTGTGCAAAAATTTGCCAAAACCCTCAAATTCATTATCCAAATTCTTTATGCTAGCTGTATAAATTATTAGAAGAGCTTTACTACCCAACAGATAGAAAACTGAGTCAATTGAGAGAAAGATCCAAAATCTTTAGATCTTTGCCTCAGTGAACAATAATTTCTGGAGAACCAAGGGGAGACCTACACCAAGACAGAACACTAATGACAGCCTTCCCAAAGCTCCTTCCATGCCCTGGTCAACACAGGGATTTGACTCACACCCCACAGAACTATTCTTCCTCCTCCACTAACAATTTTGAAACAGGTACTGTGCCTTACTGCACAACTTTGAAAGATACACATTGAAATCTAGAGTTTTATCATCATTGGACATATAAATAACTTCTCTTTAAACATTATTTTTTGTAGTTTTGAGCTGGGATTTGTGTATTAGAACTTGTGCTGCCAACAACTTCCTAAGTATTTACAAACAGAACAACTCCTACTGTTAGGACAGGAGCCTAAATGAGGCTTGCTGTCAGTGAATGAGATCCCCCAGCTAATGCTAAACACTGGTATTACAGCACTGGGACTGCCCACATAGTTGCAGTTTTTCAAGTCTAGGAGATAACTGTCAAGGTTTCCAGCATTTCCTTTCATCTGCCAGTGTTCTCTTCCCAGTGAACTACCATTATAATCCAGAAATGAGATCTTCATGTAGGTTACAAATAATAGCAAGAATTAAATCTCTCATTTTACCACAGGAAGGAGAAGCAAGCTACAGATAAAAACCAGTAAACAATAGGGAATAATTTTATAGCACCTAGGAACATGCATTATTATGTGAGCAAGACAAGTGTGTTATGCATTTCTGCAAACAGCTGAAAATCAAACCTCCCAACTGAATACCACAGAACACTGCTTTTTAGATTAACCCAGTGAAGTCAGAAGGGATTTCTGTTTAAGCTTCTAACCACCAGAATTTCATTGTTCTCTCCATCCAAAAACTTAACTGGGTGTTTAGACAAGAAGCTACCCCTTAAGTGAAATCCCACTCTCTTACAACGCATCCAGAATTGTACACATTTGTGTTTTTCACAGGTTTTCTTAAAAGCAAAACAACAATCCTCAGAGATTACCTTAAGTGTTTCAGTGACCAACTCAGCAACTGAGCCAGATGTCAGGTTTGGGTGCAAAAAGCTTGATTTACATATCAAGTATTTCCACAGTCTTGGGAAGGCAATGGGGGGAATATACACACCCATGCTACAAAACAACACAGGTGCCATGTAAAACTGTTACTAAATACTTTCCCCAATACCCTGAACTAGAAGACCATTGAAGCTGAATTCTGCTGCTGATTTCCATCATAGGGGAAAAAAAATCGGTTTGCTATCATTTAAATATGTACATTTTAAATATATATGCATTTTAGAGAAGTATATATTAATTAAGAGCATATATTAATAAAGTAGCCTAATTACAAGCTCATACAACCATATAGAGAAACAAACCTCCAAAGGCTGTGCATGATAATGATCTGTAGGATCCTTCAGTTCTGCAGCCTCTTTCATCAAACGTTTGACAGCTGAAAAAAAAGAAATCATAAGACATGAAAATGAAGAAAATAACTTAATATGCATCACATAGAAAAATACATAAAACATTTCCTGAAGAACTCTTTTCAGCTAACTAATCTTCTCCAGCAGATTCCAGTTTCTTCATTGGAGTTCATAATTCAAGATACTATATAACTACTTATGATGAATAAACCCTAAATGGGTTATACAAGCATAAAGTTATGAAAAATCCGTGCATGGTCACAGAGTTTCTCAACACTGAACACCAGGACTAAAGTAGTTCTATATTGGTAATTGCACCAAGCAGGAGGAAAAACATATGTATCATTAACAGAGTTTCAGGCTACAAGATTTACAAGGCTAACAACCTCAATATTTTACAATATACGTGCATCTTTAACAACTGCTGAAAAGCTTTATCCTGACACCTCCCATGACAATTACATGAATACTCCTTTAGTTGATCAAAGTGGGGGTCACAGTAATACTTGAGAGAAATCAACACATCACCAGGAAGAGGAGATGAAGTTTTATACAAGATTTGAAAACACATATGCCCAGCCTGAAAAATTTACCCAGGGCCTCTGCAGTTGGAACCTGCCACCAAGTGTGAACACCCAGGTATTCTATCATGACTTCAGGATACTCATTAGCAACCTTCTCCAACCTTCCACTTCAGAAATACCAGCATCACCTGTATTTTCTGTATTTCCTTCTTTGCCCTCTTTTGCAAGCTCTGTTACATCACTTATACTTCAAGTGCCCTCATGTGCACCATACATTAATAAAAAACTCGGACCTCCCCACACAGGAATTCTCCTTCCAATCTACTGTGAAAAGTTCTTTACCTCCTTCACACTTTTGGACAGCTGTAAACGGCTCAAAGTTAGAGAATTTCACTTCTTACAACCCAAACAGAAAACCAATTACGTGAAAATCTGCTGCTGCCAGTTACCTCAGTCATGCTGCTGCCACAGGGAGGGGTCAATTAAAAACCCTACCGATCCCACAAGGTCATGGCACAGCCAGCAGCATTCAGGGTCTGCTGAGTAACAGTTTGTCTCTTTCATCTTCATTAAGGTTTACCAGTTCATTAGAGAGGAATATAAGAAAACCAGTCTGGACCAGAAAAGGCTTTGGACCCAGCATTGCTTCACAGCCAACAAGGCTGGACACCTGCCTTTAGGAGAAGAATGAGCTAAAAATGAACACCCCATGAAGCAAAACGGTGACTGTGAGAAAACTGAGAATGTATGTAACAATACCTGAAGAGAGCCTACAAGAAAGATGGGAGAGGGATTTTTGTAAGAGCATGTAACAACAAGATGGGGAATAGCTTCAAACTGAAAGAGAGTAGACTTAGATTGTATATTAGGAAGAATTTCTTCCCTGTGAGAATGGTAAGGTGCCAGAACAAGTTATCCAGTGAAGTTGTGGATGCCCCATCCCTGGAAGTGTTCCAGGCCAGGCTGGACAGAGCTCAGAACAACCTGGTCTAGTGAAAGGTGTCCCTGCTCATGGGGTTGGAAGTAGGAGATCCTTAAGGTGCCTTCCAACCCAAGCCTACTATTCCATGATTCTAAGCAGCACATGTGCACGCAGAAAGGCTGAGAGCTGGGCTTGTTCAGCCTGAAGAAAAGGCTCTAGGGAGACTTTACTGTGACCTTTCAATACTTAGAAGATGCTTATAAGGGAATGATTTTGAACTCAAAGACAGTGTGTTTGGATTGGATATATGGAAGGAATTCTCTACAGTGAGTGCAATGAGACACTGGAGCAAGCTGCCCAGAGAAGCTGGGGAGGCCTCATCCCTGGAAGCCTTGAAGGTAAAGTTGGACAAAGCTTTGAGCTGTGATCTAGCAGAAGGTGTCCCAGCCTGAGGCAAGGAGGCTGAACTACATTACCTTTAAAGATCCCTGCCAACCCAAACCATTTTGTGTTTCTCCTCCCACCTTGCTGAAAAATACCAACTGAGAGGCTGCAAAGAGAAGCCCAGAGAGGTAAAGGTTCATTCTGAGAACGTGTGATCCAGTGAAGAAAGCACAAAATTTGTTTCTTCTTTAAGCACTGCTGCAGTATTCATGAAACGGTTCTTCCTTTGGCTACCAAATACTGCAGTGAAGAAACAAGCATAATTCGCAAAGTCTGCCTGCATGAAGTCGTGGTATTTCAACCCACTTAAGTCATACTGAGTCACTGAGTAAACACTGGGCAATGGCAATTCTGAAAAATCAGAATGGTTTGGACCCATTTGAAATAAAGAATCGCAGACTGTCAATAAAGTCAAAGAGTATCACTAATTCAGCCAAAAAAAAAAGAAAAGTCGAGACACAGAATTGGTCTAAGACAGGTTTTAGAGACAAAATAAGTTATTTTTTTAATGTGACAAGACCATCAGCATGAAAAATAACCACATTTTCAAAGATACACCCAGTAACACTTAATGGTCATCAAAATTAAATCCTGAGGAAATTAAGTTTCTGGACAGGAGATTATAGGAGAGCTCCCACCAAGCAGGAGGTGTGGGAGCTCTCTACTGCTCTGTGGAGGAAAGACAGAACACTACAGGTCAGAGGCTCTGCCTGACAATCAGCCTCTTGTGTTACACTGAACAAAATTTTCTGAAAAGCAAAATACGCATATTAAAAATCTAAGAATCAAGTTTCAAGCCACCAGCTTGCTTTAGGATTGAGTGGTGGTGGAATAACAACTAATGAGCAAAATTTGTACAATAAATGCATATGTGATTCAAAGATTCATTTCTGCCAAAAACCACGTCCATTCAAATTCCACTTTTGTCATCCTTTACTTCAAGCTACCCTCAAACTCCAGTTCACACAACTGCTTCTTTTGAATATATCTGCAGGCCATGTTCAAGTACTCCTGCTGTGTGCCCAACCAGACAAGTCTGTAGCTAGTGGCTGGGGAAACCTTGTGGACACGGAAAATGCAAGTGATCAGTCTTTGTAAACGTCAGTGTGACTGCTTAAAGGGATGACAGGATTTGAACATCGGTGGTGTTTTCTTAGTAAATCATTATGTCTTTTCTTAAAAAAAAAAAAAAAAAGTGGTTGTGCATGACAGTATCTTCCTCAAATGTACAGCAACCTTTTCATTCTGAAATGAATTCTCAAACTTTAGTTTGAAATTTCAGTTCCACTGTTTGAAAAAGAAAGGATATAATGAACAGATAAATACTGGAATCCAGAACAGTTAGCATAAAGCTAGAGATCTCTCAATCTTTCAAGATGACTTATCTAAGCTGGGAAAAGAAGAATAAAACAACCTGACAGCTTTTACTGCTTTGGCAAATGTTTCCTACCTTTTTATTTATGGCTGCTATTATTATTTTTTTCACTTTAAGCAAGATTTAGAGGTCTATTCAGAAAAAAATACAGAAGAAGTAGTAACTTTTTCCCTATGGCTCTGCTAACCAAAACAGCACAAGTAAAGATGCAATTTATTTACTGAATACAGGTTTTCCAGAAAGTAAAACTCCCACAAAACCCTTCATCTCAGAGAAACTTCTATAACTACTCAATCCACTTAAGTGATTAGTAAAACACAAGTCATCTTTGTTATGTGTTTTTCTATTAATGAGGCTACTATCAACAATTAGGAAAAATATTACACAACAATAATAGAAAAAAATTTTAAAAATGAAATCACATAAACAGTTTGAGACAAGCATCAAGTCCTTTCAATTACATGGACATGTCATGGATGACATTTGGGGAGGGTCTTCTTAAATCCAGCTGGCTTTGTTTTCTTCCGCCCTCCACTCTGTAGCTGACCATGGAGCCAAGAGTGCCTGACCCACAGCTGGTGTAACCACCAAGTGACTTCAGAAGTCACAGTGCAGAGTCACCTGCTGAACCACCAGTCCCCACAGCAGCCCAAAGTACCTGGGAACCCAAACTGCAATGGCATTTAAAAGAAAATCTCATTTAATAAAGGTAATATTTAAATTTCTTGTAAGAGGAAAATAACAGTGAATCACTCTGTCAGTAGCTCCACTCCACATCATTAAAAAAACCCATTAGGATTAAGTTTATGTGTAAAGTACCCAGGATTGCTCATAAAATGACAGCACTTGATGAGCTTTGACATTTTAAGTTTAAAAAAAAATTTCCCATTTTAAGTGATCTGGTCACTGACACACGCAAGAAAACATATTTAAAAGAAAGAGTCACAGTAGCTCTTTGATGAGGAAAATGGTATTTTTTCAATGATATTTTTTGCTGTACTCTCTAGAGAATGGTTTGTTAAATCTAAACATACAGAAACTCTAACAGGTTCACAGCAACTTGCACAGTGTCACTAAGACCTGTATGACATGTTGTGGATGTGATTCTCCCGAACAGCTTAGAACCTGTGAATGATGTGTGATCATTTGTGAACTAAAAATAATAGAAATAAATCCAAAACACAGCACTGAACCAGCTACTAGGAAAAAAAATAACTCCACCCAGCCAAGATCAGGACATTCCTCTGGCAGTTCCTTTGACTTCTGCTACAAAACAAATGTAAACACCATTTGCCAAGAAACAGGCCAGCTGTTTTCCATCCTCAGGGTCTCAGATACTTCCCTTCTCAAGACCCATAAGCCTCCTGAATAGCTCTTTTACATCTTCACAGCCTCATGTACATTCTTTCACAGGATCAACAAAGTATTAACAACTATTAAAAAAACACAAAAACTTTTAATTAGTCTTGTCTTGCTTTCCTCTCACCCTCAGAAACAGCCAATCTTTAGTCCTCATTTCCCTCAGGGCAGCAGGAAGTACAGCACTCTTCTTGTAGTTGCAATCGAAAACAACTGTTCAGTCCAACACAAAGGGAGGTAAAACTTACAAAATCCAAGGTGCTTGTTGAACACACTAACATCAAACAATAAATAAATTTTTAACATCTGTTCAACGTTTTATTTTTAAACAATCTATCCTTATTTCATACACGGAACAGCTACTGGCTATTTCCTATTAGCTCTGTTTAGTTAACAAAGAACTGACGCATGCTTGTTGGCACGGATCACTTACTTGTACAAAATATGCAGTGGAGAAAGAAGTAGAGTTTGTAGGAAAAGCAGCAATCATATTGAAGATGACAGCTAAGAGGATCACAATCTCAGCATTATTATGTTCCCTATGCCTTCAGGCTCCCAAAGCAGTGCCCTGGGCAATAGATGCAGGACAGCATGCCATGCCTCCCTCCACGTGCTCCCCCTACACCTCCAGTGCCCTCACTAATCAAATTCTCAATGGGTTGATCTGCTGAAAGCAAAACAAACTCTGCTCCCCCAAAAACTAAAAAGCATGGTTGTTAGTGGGCTCTGTGAGGCACTGCCAGTAGGTGTTCATAATTCTTCAAGTGTCTGTGCAAATACCCACTCAGACACCTGGTCACAGCCTAGACAAAAGCGAGACACTGTCACTACAAGAGCAGTGACTACAAGATTTGGTGTCTGATCTTACAGCAGGCCAAGGGTCACAGCTCTTGGGGAAAAAACAGTAAAGAGATTATTCCAAGTAGCTGTCTTATAAATTTCAGAAAATGGGGATGTTCTTGAGGCATGAAGAGGATGAGTCTGTACTTTAGTCAGCTGAGCTTTAATATTGATGGGAGAGGTTTATCAGCCATGTGGTAGCAGGCTGATATAAATCGACTAATCCATTTTGAAATCCTAAGACAGAAAATAGCTTACCCTTTTACAATTGCCAAAAATACACACAAAAATATGAAGCAACAGCTTACAAGGCTTTGCCTTATTGAAGCAATACAAAGAAACCTGAAGTGTGGAGGGTGAAATTTCATCCCTTCCAAAATTAATGGTCTTTTTGGGAAGAAATAAAAAAGAAACTCAAGTTCATAGGCAGTGTGAGAAGACAGCATGAGGAGAATGCCCCCATGGCACCCTGCTCTCACAGAGGGTACAGGAGCTGCTGGGCCATCCCAGACCAGCACTGGCCATGGCCTGTACCTGAGGCAAACAGAGACGGGCCAGAGCTGCGCTGCCTCTCAGCGACAGAGACGTGGCATGCAGGGCAACAACTTGCTCTGTGCTGTGGAGAGTCTTTCTGATATGTTGGGATGAACTAACTGGCTGTAGAAACAGGGATAAGGAAGAAGATGAACACATTGCCTAGGAGCAATCAGGAGCAGGACAAAGATGTGCAGTAATACTGCTCTTTTGTGGTCTGCTTGAGAGCACACAAAGTACAGCAATGGAGAACCTAACTGATCCCCACTCACCAACCTGGTCCAGCACATTCACAGAAGAGGGATCCAGGTATTAACCACAGATGACCATCAGCTCCTTCACAACTCTACAGCAGAATTTGGCTTAAAATAAAAATCAATAAAGGCATGTGCTTTTTTTACCAATATTTTCCTATTTAAAATGTATTTTCATCTACAACATTATATTAAAGCAACTTATACTAAAAGGGTTAGTAGAATTTGCCCTTTAAAAGTCTACTGAGCAGACGAAGTCGCCCTTTGCAGTTTGCTCAAGTCTAACAGCAGACAGATTTCAACAGTAGAAGCCTCTTGTACAGGTACAAAACGATTACTTTTTCCACTCTGTCTCAAGATAGCGCATTCCAAATCCCTAAAGCTGACCTAAAGGTTAGCTTGGTTCTTCCTCTACTAAAAGCAAAGCAACAACAACAGGCACAAGGTCAGCCACTTGTTCTAAAGCCTTAGAGGGCTCAGTTACCAAGTAATCCCTTCATCCACAGATGACACAACTTGAAATAGAAAATATGGTGCACCTTTTATGTATTTTAGTGCCTTTACATTAACTGAAACTACCTTAATATTGTAATATTGTAGAGTTCATTGTAAGCCTTCAGTCAACTTGCAAGAGTAAGATACCAGCACTAAAGTGCACAGATAACTGGAGCAAGATAGGAATTTGTAAAACATACACAGAAATATTAAGTAATTGCATATACTCATCTACCTGGTTAGCAAGTAAAGTGCCAGACTAGAAGTAGTGGCTATACACAATTACTGTCAACTCATTTTAATGGACAACTGTGAAAGAAACAATATTTATTTAAAATATTTGTTTATATTTATTCAACACCTTTTTGCATATCTGTTCAGTGAACGATTTCACACATACTGACTTATTGACACCAATGTTCCAAATCATTATAGAAATTTTAAAAGTTATATAAATAATTTACAAACTTTCACCATCTACATGGAAAGAAATAGTTTAATAAATTAATATGTAACCAAACATGCTTAATTTAGAGAAACAATATTAAGCCATTGTATGAATTATTTGTCTTTGCCACATAAAGTTCATTTTGCTATGGAACAGCTGGTTCCACCCGGTTTTCAGCAACAACAGGTGCTGAAAATCAATTCCAGTAAAGGTAATTTTCTCTTGAATACAGGGGAGACAAGTAGCAACAAAGGGGAAGAACATTTCTAAATTAAGCCACAAATATTTGTCCTCTCCACCCAGATCCCAGGTGCTTGTCATACAGCACACCACTACTGTTTCCCATGACGTGGCAAACCACAACCAGGGAGCATGTTTGTGTGGCCTTGGAAATTCACATATGCCACACATCCTGCATATCTCCCTAAAAATAAAGTATTCCTTCCTGATATTTTAAATGACAACAAGTTCATCATTTGCTGAGTGATCCTTCTTATCTTTCAGTTATGCAACTTGGGTGTTAGGCTAAGGGGCATAATTTAACAACAGACACATTATCCGCCTGAGGTGTGTTTGTAAACAAGCGTGTCATGACATTTGTAAGGTACAAGTCATCGTAACATTCAGTTTCTCCTCACCTCTCATGCTGGTAAGAGGACGGTACCATTAAAAAATAAAGCCACTATTCATCACAATAACATGAAGCTGATAATGCCTATTTCTGAACACCCGCTTAGGGGAAAGCAAGGACAGCAACCCACACCGAAACCCTCCCAGCCCTTCCAAGCTGCAGAAGAGGTTTTGTTCCGGCAGTGCCAGCCAGGCCTCCGGCTGTGCAAGCGGCTCCCAGGGGTGAAGCCCTGGCACAGCCGGTCAGAGGCCGCTGCTCCGACACAGGCACGGCCTGTCCACTGTTTGCCTCCCAGGAATCCAAACCTGCCCTTCTAGCGCTGTTTTCTCCACATCTCTTCATGTATCTCTCTCACTTCAAGGATTCAAAAGAAAGCCCAGGAGTTATAGGCCTGAATTTTAACATGCAAACATGCCAAACCAAACATGGGAGCAAACACAGACACTCAAGTAAATGGAGCCTGTACAGCAACACTTCTGCTAAACGAACTGACGCCACGCAGGCCAAGTCACCCTTGGCAAGCCGTCCCTCACACGCACCTATTCAGAGAGCAGGCGATGCCCGGGGGAGCAGGGCACGGCCACCCGACTAAACGTTCAAAGGTACGTTTCCACGATCCATTAAAACGCGTGGGCACACAGACCAGGCGGTCAGGGTGTTTTGAACCGAATTACAGCTCGGAGGAAGGTTTCAACGCCATCGCACTGCGAAGGCGAACCGAACCCGGCCGGCCTGCGCCTGAACGCCGCCACCGCCCCGGCGCAGGGAACTCACCGCCACCGCCACCGCCGCGGCCCCCGGCCCCCCTCCCCGCCGCGGCCCTAGCCCAAGCCCCGGCCCCCGAGCCCTCCGCGACCAGCTCGCCCGCAGCAGCCCTGGCAGCTCGTAGAGGCGCCGCCGCCACCTACCCGGGCTCTTGAGGTTGTACCGGGCCTCCATGGCAGCGGGCACCCCTCGCTTCCTCCGCGGCGGCTCCGGCGGCGAGGGCAGGGGGCGGAGGAGGAAGGCCGGCCCCGGCCCGGCCCAGCCCGCCTCGCCGCGGGACACTCCCCTGACGTGGCAGTGGCGGCGACAGCCCCGCCGTGACCGCGGGGGAGGCACCTGCCGCGCCGGCACCGCCCCGGAACGGCAGCCGGGCGGGGACGGGGGGCTGCGGCCTCCGGGTGCGGGGGCTGCGCGGGCGAGAATGGGCCCTGTCCGCCCCGACCGCAGAGGTGATGGGGCGAGGTGCCCCCGGGCCTCTGCGGGTTTGAAAACTGGGGGCTTGGAAAAGGGGCTTCCAGAAACCCACAGACCAAACACACTCCCCACCCAACAGACTTCACTGTAAGACTGAGTAGCATCTTGTTTGTTGGTTTTCAGGATCATGAAAGACTGCAATGTTGTCATATGTCAATGATTATTATTTTAGGCAAGTATTAACAGCAAGAGCTTGACTTGATTGTCACCTTTTCCATGCCACAGTGACAGAGAGATATTTAGATGTCAACTGCTTCTCTTCCATCTGGTTATTGGTGTAATACACTTGGGATATGACTGGTCTGGCTTTTGTCTCTGCTTGGTCACACGTAGGATGGCTTTGGGACAGCCCGCACTCCTAAGGACGAGTCCGCCCTCTCTAGATTTTCAGTCTTAAGTATTGTTTATTATTTCTTATCTACAAAATTTTTTTCTAGCCTGACAGAAGTCTGAACAGCAAGGCAGCCAAAGGCACTTTGACTTCCTACTAGGCGGTCATCTATTTTTATACTAAAAACTACGTATATCATATTTACCTTTATTTCTCAATACCTTTCACCTATATTAGAAAGTGCACTTTTACTATGAACTAATCTCAAAGTGCCAACATCACCACAGAAAATGGATGACAAGAAGAAGAAAGGACAAGACATGCCCTGATTTTTCCATCTTGTCTCCATAACCCCCCTGTACCAAAATCTTAAAACCTGTATTTTCACCCTGTGAATACTTAATTCTTACACTATTTATCTTCAAGTGATTCGCTCGTCCTCAAACAGGTGGCACATCCTGTGCAGAGTCAAAATCTAACTACTAAGCACTTCTAGCAACATTCTAAGATTTCTGAGCCCCCCAAAAGTTATCTCAGTAATTCTAGACATCTGGAGTGATGTGCTGAGTTCCTACAGGGATAGAACTTTTAAGAACATACAGACAATATCTAAATTAAAGGGGTCAGAATCTCAGCAGTCTGTTTCCTTTTGTTTCAGTATAAGCTGTAAATAAGAATCAACCTCTTACGTACTTGTCTTCAGCAAGTTTGAAGCTCATATCTAGCTCATATTGTCCTAAATCTGTGAAATGAATTGTTTTTCATTTCATTTTACTTTTATATTCTTCATAATCCCATTTTACAAATTTTTTTTCTTGGTCTCAGTTCTCCTTTTCCCACTTTGATTGAACAGCAACGGCAAACAGTTGTAAATAAAACATTTGAGTGGGTGCATATTTTTCACCCCATCATGTTCTCTCTCAATATTACAAAAAAATCATGTTAGTGTTTCCTTTCCTGTTCTGTTGCACAGTGATGTGGTAACAGCCATAGGTAAAGAAAGCAACTTTACTCCTCCTGAACAAGTAGCAAAATTTTCAAAGGGGCAAAGCATTTGTCCTTTTTACAGGACAAAGCACTATGGATACTATAAAGGGTCATTAATGTATAGAGATGGGAAAAGATGGCATCAGACCTTGGGGTTCCCTCTTACAACAAAGCATCATAGATACATTAAATGGCCAACAACTCCTGATGAAATTTCAGCATTTCTAGCTAAAAATGGTTGATCTGACCACTTGAGATGGTGAGCTGCAGGCACTGACTGTTGGATTCACAAACTATTTTGGTCATAACTATCTTTCCTTGTCTTCCAGAGCCACCTTGCTGTGCAGATGGAGAAGGGCATTGGGACAATCTGTCACTAAATTGTGCCCTTCCCCAAAGTAGGAGAGAGGTATTCTCCATTCAGAAATCTGGATTTTCATGTAAAAATTCTGGAATCTATTTTGGTTGAAGATAATTTTTGAAGTTGTATTATAACATGAATAGTATAAAGTGGTAGTTATTATGAACTACTTAAGCACAATGTGGAGTTCAGCTCTGCCTTCTGGGCTCTGGCCTTTGACCCTTGGATGTGCTTACAATGTCATTTTATATAGTTCAAGGAGGAAACACCTGCAGTTAATGTGAAACTTGGGCTTTCAGCTAAAAAAAGATATATAGTCACTCTAACTGCATGAGAGCTAAGGACTGTTGAAAATGAGCTGAATAAACTGAAAGCAAGAGAAATACCCTGAAAGAAGGTGCATGTTTTCCCCATTTAAGTAAGCTACAAAGCAGCCTGGCTGGGAGCTGGGGAATTGCCGTGAGGTATTGTGCAGAGCTGGCAGTACAAGACTGCTTTAATTTTGAGATGTACTATTAGTTAAAAGTCAGAGCTGCAGGAGGTGAATGCTGCCAGATGAAAATGCTGATTCCTGCAAGGTAGCCAGCATACAGTTAGAGATCTGGGGATTCATTCCCAACTCCACATCTCGGCAGCTGCCTGGGGCACATGAGGAGCTGGCACTGCAGAGCTCTCGCACAGTCAGTGTTGCCAGTCCAGAAGCAGCAGCCTCCCTCCTCTTCCTGCCTCTGGTTAAAAATACCCTTTGGATTTTTCATCTGCCTTTTGTTTAGACTTTTGCAGGAAGAAGCCATTTTGTACTAGAACTTGTGGGGTTTTAAAACCAAACGCCAAATATAGTAGCAAAATTGCAGTCAAATTCTACATGCTGGCAGCACTTCATGTAGCTTGTGTATCCTGTCATATGATCTAACTTGGTGAAAAAATAAACAAGCTGAAGCACATAGAAACTGAAAGTTTGCCTGAACATTGCTGCAACAAAGATTTTGTTGTTTAATGCCACACTGAATCTGTGCTGAAAGTATTTACTCATGTTTATGTGTACTTTAGTTATCTTTGGATGAAAGCTCTAATAGATCCACCTAGCTTCAGAGCAAAGTAGCATATAGGCCCTTTTGGTGCAAAAAATATTACAAAATTAATGACAATCATAAGGTTTGAAAAAATGAATAATTTTTCAATTGAAAGTGTTGCCACTGTGAAAGAAAGGCCAGGTCAGAGTAAACATATGGGCAAAATTCTGCTGAACACTTGCAAACTATGGATAGAGATTTCTGAGCTGATTCCTGAGGCTCAGTTTATAGCTGATGGAGGGAACTAGGAGCTCTTCTTACCCGGAATAGATGTTAGCTGTACACCAAACAAATCATGCTTTAAAAGTTCCTGCATTTTTTAGTTACCTGCAAAGGGAGATTAAGCTAAGTCCTCTGTGTTCTGGACTACCCTGGTTAGGTATTTTTATATTTATGTATACATAGGTATTTTTATATGTATGTATGTATGTATGAATGTATGTATGTATAGCTGCATCTGATGTACATAGCTCTCTATACCTGAGAGAAATGTATCCAGCATTTCCCCTCAGTTTAGAAGAATTACAAGCATTTCAGTCAATATAGCCTCTTATTTTTAACAGTAAGATCCTTGATGAACTGACTTCAAAGGTCCAAGAAGGGAGCTCTGCCACTAGGAATGGGAATCACAAAGGTCAGCATGCAGAGTTGGGGGGATGCACACTAAGCAGCATCCAGCAGGAGCCCACTAAGAGGGAGTTACTCCCAAAACCTCTTCTTTCTCTGGGAGGCAGAACACCTGTGTGAGACAGGGGTTCAGTTTTTGCACAAAGGTTGGATGCATCAGTGCATGTTCTTACAAATCTCTGGGAATTATGCTAGGTTATGTGACACTGAACTACTATTTATTTATTTGTGCAGGTCATATAATGGTATGAGATGAGTGTATAAATATGTTACGTGATAATCTAAAGTCAGTTCAGAGTGGGGTTTGTATGCTTTGTGGGCTGTCTCATAAATTCAGCTACGAATTATTTATTCTAGAGAAGGTTTGACATCACAGAAGCTTATGATAACGCAATAGTTTTTTGTACAGAGCAATCATGCCCTGCTTTTATGAATTCACAAAATGTAGAAGGGTTTGCCTCATTTATAATGCTAGCCTTTCAATACAGACAGTTGGCTGCAGAATTAAACTCTTAATGGAATTAAGGAATCTAATATTCATATGCCTATATTGTCAGTGGGAACAGATATTACTTGCAAGAAAAATCATCATGGTGTTCATTGTGACTAATACAGTCTCAGCTTTTAAAATCCTCTGTGTTAATTCAGACCTTTTAAATCTGGATTCAACAAGTGCACCTCCTCCTCATCAATAAAAACAAGGGTGGCATTGTGTAACCAGTGCCCTGCAGCAATTGCACAGATGGATGGTGCCTCTCAGGAAAGCAATTACTGTCTGTTCTTCAAGCTTAGTTCTAAGGCAACCATCTCACAAAACAGGGGGCTTTGCCAGCTGACTTTTAATTAGCATTATTTCAGAAATGAAGAAAGATTATAGGGAAAGAAGTTACCAGGTTGCTTTAACTGATGAAGCAAGCAAGTGCCTGGTCTGGACCATTGGTGCAGAGTTAGTGTGAACTAACAAAATCTTTCACAATGTGAAGTCAAAATAAAGGTACAAATGTTTCACCCTTCCTTTACTCCCTGAAGAATGAGCAGAATCATACCAACCAGTTGACTCACAGTCTTCTGGCATCATTGCTGTAATAGCTCAGATGATTTCCTGGTTCAGAAGACATGTGCAAAGACCCAAGTCAAAGCTGAATCTGTGTCCAAGTGACAGCTGTTCACAACTCTGAACATCCCTGATTTAGTTACTCTGTCCTTAGCAGCTACAGATAATGGCAGAAATTTCCTCTGGTGCATATTCCTCACCATGCAAATTTGCAGAGCACACTAGATAGCTGGAGGCAGTTGCCAAATACCAAAATTTTAAAACATTTTGCTCCAGTGCCACTGTTTCAGGAGAAAAGCTTGGGCATACCCTTTGACCATGCAGCCTGTTTTCCATGATCTCTTTAGGGCTTCAGGCACCTGATTTTCTTGTCACTTTTTCCGTATGTGAGTTCCTCTGCATGCCCCTTCATTTTAACTTACTCCTATAGGCTTTCTTCTGGGAAGGGAGCACCTGTCCTCACAATTACACATCAGGCAGAGGCAAAGCACTCAGGGTTATGTCTGTTGGACTGCCATCAAGTAGTCCTTCCACCCCATCCATTCCAAAACTGTTACTCACCACTTTAATGTGCACTTGCATGTTCCTGCTTGCATACAGCTGCTTACATACAGCTCTGACTGACTCAGCAATAGAAATAAAGGATTGGTGAGCAGGCTGTTTATTTAAAGTTCCTCAAAAAGCATTTACCAAATGGTGTTAGCTTACTGTGTCATTAACCAAGATATATTGAGTTACCAGCTATCTTCACCAGCCCCTTGTAGATATCTGGGACACACAGGAGTTTCTCAGTAGTGGAAATCTGGAGCTTGGTTCAGTTGCAGACAGAAGCATCTGATGCTGTCTGAGGTATCCTAAGGTATGCCAGATATCCATACATAGCAGAAAGGTACGGGATACTGTTGCCATTCTGAACAAAGCAGCAGCACCAGGACAGGTGAAGTGCATAGAGTGCCCTCAATGACATAAGGAATCCATGTGGACACTTGGATTAAAGCCCTAACACAGCAGTTGGGAGAGTCCAGAGAGTGGCTCTGCTGACCAAATATGCCTACCCTCTGGCAAATTGCATTGCTCTCTGGGCTCCAGCTGACTGTACTGACCTCATACCAGGTCACTCTCCTCTCTCCTCTGTCCACTGCCTGATACCAGGTCACTCTCCTCTGCATTTTCAGCTGCTTGGGCTCCACAGCCCAGCCCTGGTCAGGCTCAATTGCAGAACCTTGGTTTGGCACTCTTAGAGAAAACTGCACAGCAGAGCTACATAAGGCAAGACAGACCCCGAGATGGAGGTAGAGCTATTGACATATGGTCCAGAGAAAAAGCAGCACTGTTAAAAAGGTGTAAAATGCTGGAAGGAAAAGGCAGAGAGTCAAAAGATGGCAGGGTGGTGACACTTGAGCCAGAGAATACTCATTTGTTGTCTTGCATGGGGACATGAGCATGTTAATGCTAAGTCTAGTAGCTTGCTAGTCACAGCTACCTATACTAATCAATAAATTATTACTATCCTCTGGTAAATTGTCTGTATCTGCTTGCAGGCTTTTTTTTTTTGCCTTTGCTGAAAGGTGTCTAGCAAGGTGACTCATGAGGATACAGACTCACAGGAGATGCAGGCTGCAGAGGCTACTGTTACTCTGAAAGAGAAATTACAAAAGCTAAAACAATTGTGCAGTCTGGTGTTGTCATAACTATTCAAATTACAGATTTATAGCTTTTAATTAGGACTATTAATTGTAGCAATTATATATATAAATATAAAATTTTATTATATATATAAATATAAAAAGGGGAGGGAAGAAGGAAAGAGCTTCTTCCATGCTAAGGAACTTTTATGAATGCATCTATTTCATGGGAGCTGGAAGATTTCATGGAGAGGGTGCACAGAGTAAAGCAGAAAGGCATTTATAATCTGTCAAGACAATACTAAATTTAAAGCCAATAATTAAGTTTCTGCATAACGGACTTCATGAAGAATACAAAATTTGAATGACACCTGCTGCTTTATAGACAGAAAATGTGGAATTGAAATATGAAATTACTGAAGGAACAGAGCTGGAAACACTGCTGAGCAAGGGGAACAGGAACGGTGGTCGTGAATTAATTTGTATGCCTCTGCTGCAAAACTTGCATTCAGCACTTAGGGTAGGAGACCAAGGCAGCATGATGGCACACTGAAGTCCAAAGAAGTTGAATCAGCTGCAAAGGGAGCATTGAAAGAGAAGCAATTTGTGGATCAGACCATTTGGCTCATCAGAAGACAATTCAGTCATTGAAAAGGGCATTGCAGAGAAACAGAGTATGGTTCCACTTCTCAGCACAGGTTTTGGAGACAGAGGTGGTCCCAGGACCTTTAGATCTGGCACTACTGGATTCCCAGAAGGCACATCTGTTCTCTCTGCATACTACCTTGCAAAAGGAGTTGAAACAGGTTACATTTCCCACAGCCCAGAAGCCTCTCATTATCAAAGTAGCCCCAAACCCAGATGTGGATGTGCATAAGCAAAGGGAGAATTCAATCCACAGCTGACTTAACCTCAGAACAAGTTGGAGCTGAATGATGGCCATGGATAGTGGGGCTTTTAGAAACCCCAGAAGTGTTGCTGAAAGGTTTGATTTCTGGGGCATCCACCACCCCATCCCATTATGCAGTTTTATAAGCAGCATTAAGAGGAGCTCCAGCTGCAGAAGAGAGCTTGCAGCACTAGTTGTGAAGGAGTCTGAAAGCACTACTGGCTCCCAATCTGTTGGATGATTGTTTTATCTGGATAACAGAAAGCTGAGGAAGGACTAGGGCAGTGTTTATCTAGGAAGCATGCACTAGGTTTGAGACTTGGGGCTTGTGAGGGAAGGAGTAAGGAGGCAGGCCAGTATTTTGAGGACCAAGGATTTGCAGTGATGCATGGATTGAACTGGCTGAGGGGGCACCTACCTGACACAGAAACACCTAAATGCAAACAAAGGTTCATCTGGGTCAGAAACTTGCAGTGCTGATGAGAAAGTGAGTTAAGACTATAGCATTCCCTGATGCTAGCACACTCAAGGAATTGACACGTCGTGACTTACACACATTGTCCCTAACAAGGAGCGGTTCCTCTTGGATGTTGTCAGGCTCTTTGCTCTGCCTGTGCTGCTCTCCTGCTTACAGAATTCTTTTTGATTTCCAGCGTGAATGCATTCATAGGGCTTATACTTACATTTGTACTGACACTACATTTCAGTTTAGACAGCTTGGAATGGCTTTTAGTTTGCACTGAATGGAGATAAAAACACAAAAGGGTAAATACTGCTAAAATAGGAAAGGCAGCTTTGATACTGTCCTGTTCTTCCCTGTCAACTACTTGGACCCTTGAGGACCATGTGGTGTAACCAACCTCACCCACACTACCTCCCCGGGGCTGACCCTGTTGTGATACGCCCATTATCTTTCCTTGGTCTACATTTTCATGGAATCACAGAATCAAATCAGTTGGAAAAGACCTCTGGGATCATCAAGTCCAACTTTTGACTACACACCATCAGGTCAATTAGACTATGGCACTAAGTGCTATGTCCAGCCTTTCCTTAAATACCTCCAGGGATGCCAATTCCAATGTTTAATCACCCCATTACCTCCCTGGGCAGCCAAATTTCAATGTTTCATCACCCTTTTTGTGAAGAAACTCCTCCAAGTATCCAACCTGAACATTTTGTGTAAGGCAGCTTGAATACACTGAAATGTTCTGGCCTACATGCTGTAACTTTGGCCACTCTGCTTTTTTTTCTTGCCTCTCATGTTTGCACTCATCCATATGTCTATCCAACACTTATCAGTTTAGGCTAGCACATGTTAGTTGTTGGCTTTTTCTTATTTTTGGTTTGGTTCTTTTTAAAGAACGGGTTTAAAAAATGGGTTTTTGCTCTTTTTCTTCTGCTGTTCAGCAGTCCTGAAATAAATAATCCCTCTTACTTGTAGCAGGTCCAGGTATTCAGGGGAATATTCAGTAGAGTATCTTCTCTGACTAGTCTCATGAAAATCTTTTACCTTATCAAAAATGTGTTAGCTTAGTTCAAGAGACATTGTGATAAACTGCTGCACTAGGGCATTTTGTCTTGGATATATTTATATATGTTTTTTACATTTTAAAATATGTTCTGGACATGATTAAGAAATGTTTAAAATTTGACTGCGAACAAAACTGTAACTTCAATATCAATACATATTTTATGGCATGCATACAAACCAGGATTACATAAATCTGTCCAGTCTTTTTAGGGATGTTATAGCATGTAATGGATTTCTACAATTTTTTTTGCACTCAGTATTTTTTCAGTAGGTTTTAGCTCAAGACCTAGCTCGTGGCTCATAATGCCTACAAGCCAAAGGGAATAGGCTGGCAGAAACCAAGGAGAGTGAGTATCAGACCTGGTTACAGCAAAATATGAAATTCAGACAGCAAACTGAGAAAGGTAACACAGATACCAGGGAGAAAACAAATTAAAAGCAGCAATCTGCTAGTGTAATTTTTAAATGTAGCTATTTGAAGATATGTGCATGAGCTAATATGCAAATATTAATACAGTGAGAAATCAAGTGGGATGTCAACCATATGCCACCATATGAGAGGAGCCCAAAAGAACTTCCCAATCAAGCTTATTTCTGATTTTCCACACAGCTGAAGTGGGAGAATTTGATGTGTTTATCTGTAATTGAGTAAATTCAGATGCAGTTATTGATAAACATTTAGAATCTGAGGAAATTTTGGTATTAATGTATCTATGCATCTAACAGGACAAAGCTGCAGCACAAAAATCATGACATGATGTCATGTACATCATCAGTACAAATATAGGAAAACCTCAGTGTTCAGTTTAAGAAAAAAATATTCTACAGTAATTGTTGCAAATGACAGCACAATAAATATGTCATTAAAGCAAACAGTTGCTACTGTATACAATTATGGGTTATTTTCTTTAATTCCTCCATTTACCCTGATGATGCATATAAAGATGGAGGGAGTTCATAGGTCAACATTTCTTTTAAAAATTGCTACAGTACTTTCACAGAATGAGCTCCCTTAGTATCAAATCATCAGGAGTGCAATTTCACATGCAAGAAACCACAGAATTTTTGTTTTAGTGGGAAAAGCAACCCTGTTCTATCATGAAACATGAGATCTCAAATGATCCATGTGAATTACACTTTATCAGAGTAGTTTGCTCCTGTCAATTACACTTCTATACTAATGCACAGCATGTTGGTAATTACCAGATTTTAGAAACACATTCCAGCTCTGTAACATTTTAAATAGCCATTCCAGTGCATGCTCAAAGATGCATTTGAACTCTTCAGAGAACCCATCACACACTTTGCTGCCTGAGCTGCTGCCTGTTGAATTACTTACAGGCATTTCCTCAACTATAACACGTTCTTGGAAACAATATTTTATAGTTATCTAGCTCCTGACTTTAAAATGTCCACAGGATACTAAATTGGTTTGGGTTTATTGTAAACCAGTGTTTTTAAAAGACATGGCTTGTTCATTAATGGTCCCTACCATCTCTAGTCAACTTCAATGTTAAATAAGAAATGGAGACTTATGGATCAGGTACTTTAAAAATACTGGACTATTTGGGAAGTAATTACTTCTTCCACAATTTCTAATTTTAGAAAAAGTGTATCAACACTGCCTTAAGTGGCTCTTGTAGCACATGGGGTATTTAATTTCTTTTAAATAAAAACCAGAATCTCAATAAAATTTAAAAGAATTTTTTAAAGAAAAAGCAAGTTTTAGAATATATTTGTAAAAAGGACCTTGCATGCCTCACTCAGTGTTTAATCACTTCACCTGGAACATTAGAAAATTATTACTCAAAAATGAAATGAGTTATCACCTAACCTGAAAATACAAAAGTTAAACACTAAAACTAATGAATTTTTAACATTCTTTAAATTTTATATTTGAAACATAAGTAACCTGATGAAAATTACATTTACTCTGATGATATCAATTTGGAAGTTTTATGTTGGCTAAAATCACCCTCACTAAATTATGCTAGATAGTCTGTTCCAAATTCTAAATGGGACTACAAGAGGCAACTTCACTGTCTTAAACAAGTTGATAGTCTCTAATAGAAGGTCTACATACAACTCAGGCCAAATATATGGAAGCTACATTTAGTTATGACTCATATCATAGCCACTATGAAGAGATAATTTACACATAAAAACAACAACAAAAAAATCTGGCCCAGCCTGGTAGGTGTTCTTAGTCCCACATAGCCACCTACACCTGGTGGGGCAAAGGGAGGACAGAGATTGTGACCCAGTAGGGGGATCTCAACAAAATGAAAGACAAACACATGGCCAGAAATTACAGCAGCCCTTCAATGAATGTCCTGCGGACTGGAAAGCTGTCAAAAGGCGTCTCTTACCCATCACTGCTTTGGTGAACTCTGAAAACAGCTTTGCATTACTTTAACTGAGGGGCTAGTCAGAAGAATGCCCTCAACTAAGATGATGGGTGGTGACAGTACTAAAAGGAATTTGAACTCTGTTTTTTGAACACTCTGATTTGACTACAGCTACTGTCACTGTTTTTCACACCAGCAGCACCAGGATCAGTGATTTTCACTATTATCAGTATTTCTTACCTTCCTGAGCCCCTAGAACTGCATTACGTATCACACAATTCTTGACAGAGCTATTGTTTCCATCTTCCTGCCTGCCTCCAGAGCTATTCTGGCTGGGGGCAGATTAGCTGTGAATATGGTACATTTCCCCTTACCTGTTTCTGGTGTACAGCAAGCTGCCTCCCATTCTGGTCAAGTTCTTCTCACTCCCAAAAGCTGCCAACAAAACCATTAGACTGCGCATGCAATTGGTAAAAATTAAGAGTTTCCCTTCCATCAAGGAATTATAATTTTGTATCACTAATTAAACAAAACCACTCAATACAGAACATGGAAAGCGTTACTTCTTTTTAGGTTTGAAGAGTCCTCTGCTGTCCTGGCTGATCCTGGGGTAAATCTGCTCATATTCAATATTAAAATAAAAAGTAGTGATGTACGCTGATTATTACAGCAGGTAGATTGTCCAGTCCTCATTTTAATGGTCTCGTCTTGATTTCAATCACAGATGTACCCCTGACAGAGGGAATCAGAACCCAGTGCTCACACCTTTATGACTTATCAGTACATCAGAATGCCAGGGTGGAAATACATACAGATTCTTCATTGCACCAACTGTACACGTACAGGCTCTCAACACAAACTTAGCAATGTAAATCCAGCTGTACAGATACAACATACTCTTCTGAAGCCTTATAAAAATACCAGTGCAACATAGAGCCATTTTACAAAACAATCATCTTTATAGAAAGGTATTTTAGTGGTATATGCTGAGGTAAATAATAAAACCAGACCCAAGAGAGGGCATGACCAGTGTTAAGGAGAACTCCGGATGAAATTTGGCCAAAAGCCTGTTTTATAAAAGCTAATATTTACCTACCAGTTACGATTCCTGGTAAGGTGCTTATTGCTGTAATACTTCAATATTATTCTTCAGTTTACAAATTGAAAAATATATGAAATTAGATCTGTATGAATGTTAGGTATTAGCTGTCACAAATTTAAAAAGGCATTGTACCAAGTTTTTCTTAATTGTTTACTAACCAATTTGATTGTAGCAGGTATATAAACTACAGCATACATTTTACCTGACACCATGCATCAAAATCACCATAAAAACTAAGTTTATCAAAGTCCAAGTCCACAAGGAAAACATGAAAAAGTGCAAATTATGTACCCAGTATTTCTGTCACAGCTGTTTTTTCTTAATATGGCATGAAAAAGGTTTACAGCATATATTAAGAAAATTCTTACAAGTGCTCACCTCAATGTTTATATATACAACATTTTGCTCAAAGTGCTCACTATATGAAAAAAACTGATTGGATAAAAATATTTCAACAGTGCTTTCTGAACGTTCAGGGAAAATTCATATAATACATCAGTCCCATTTTTTTTCCTCTTCCCTCAGTGCAATGAGATGCAGAAGTCATATCAACTTCATGAAAACTTTGCTTGCCACATTGCCAGAAAACCTCAGTTACAGTGGCATTCTTGGTGTCCCATTGGGAGTGGGTCTTTTATTTTTTTGTAGGTGGCTTTGATGTTTTCGAGATCTTACTACTTTCATTCTTACTTCAAATACTTCTTGTATGGCTTTTCGAAAACAATGGAAATTGTAGTCTATTAATCCTACAGAGACAGAAATGTTTTACATATTAATAAAGACATTCATATAAATAAAGTAATGAAAACATTGCTTATATTCTGTGTTTAGTGAAATACCATACTCTCTGTCTGGAGCTCATTTTCAGTGTCCAGGAATTTTTTCTGTGCTAAGCAAAAACACATTTGAGACATACAAATAATTCAGGAAGCATTACAGCTTGATACAATGTCTGCTACTATATATAGTGGTATGTTTTAAGAGAAATCAAATAGAAGTTCATTGGCAGATAACAGATCCCTAATTTAATAAAGGGCATTGAAGAAGTGCTCAGTATTCTAGAAGAAAAACTGAAATATTTCATAAAATATGGTGTCACTTTGGAAATCTATTTCACAGAATAACTGTGATAAAAATAAGTACCTTCTATTAATCAAGAAATATTTGGTTTTTGACAATACATAAACTTTGAAATGGATACTTGATAGAACTATTACCAAATCTCACCCAGCTGTATTTCATCTTACACTGTAATTAAAAAGTAACACAATAGACATGCTGTTAGGTTAGAGACTTACATAACAGGCAGATAACATTACTGTGTTAGTGGGCTGAATATAATCCCACAGGAAAGCTGTAAAGCCATATTGGTCGTCAATTGGAAGATTTACTGAGTACTACAATTCTGTAACACCACAATACAATTTTAGAATTTTGGTACTGAGCTCATGACCTCATTTAATATTAATGCCATAAGCTTTCTTAACTGAAATACTGCAGCATTTTCCATTTCAGTTTCCCTAAGAGGAGATAAATATTTTTAAGTGGTTTAAATCGACCATGTTACACTTTGTTTTTTTTTTCCAGAAACCGTTTTCTATCTTCCTATAGTTCAGGCAAAATATTCCTTGGAATTCATGAGGCACAAAAAGCTCACCTCCATTATAATACCAGAGCCGTACTGCAGAAGAGTGAAGGCTACCAAGTGTCCCAGCTATGCAGACACAAGTTATGGACAAACCCTAAGGGATGTTTATTCAGCATGGTGTCTTTCTGAAACAGTGCTCTTAGTAAGTATGCAGAAATAACACTTCATATGCTTTCTACAGAAAGCAACTGCATCCAACACTCATATGCAATAAAGGTGGTAGAGGTATGGAAGAAACATTTGACTAGTTTAAATTCTATCAAAAGCTCACCAGGCTGTCAAACAGCCCAGCAGACATGGTACAAGTGCTGTGTTCACAGCACACCAACACTGACAGGTGAAATTACTATCACAAGATGGGGCACACGAGCCCAGATGGCAGCTTGCTCTTCCACTGCTGAGTTTTGTCACAAAGACCAGCAACTCAGTGAACATCATACTGGTGGGCAAAGAGGTCATGAACTAAGGGCTCAGTATTGACTTTGACCAGAAAGATGACAAAGAAATGTTGTGCACTTTAACTGCAAAATTAAAGCACTCCTAAATAAGACTAGGTCCTAAATATGCAATTTTTCAAAAGCCTGCTTTCAGATATAAGAAAAGCAAGAACATTCTATCTGTCAGTTTCAAAATTTTTCCCTTGGTTATGGCAGGCAAGCTGTTCCAAATGTGTATGCTGGTGTCAACAGGTACAAATCAGTGTCAGACAATATAAACTAACACAGTCTACAGTTGCAGGTGGAAGCTTTACTGCATTGGATGTAAACTTTCAAATACTTTCATATCAGAAATTTGTCAAATACGTTTAGAATTTCATCCCATCTTAATGCCTGCACAAGTACTTTCATCCCTTTAAAAATGTTATATAAGCTTTATCAAGCTGTACTTACCTCAATTTATGATGCAGTTAGAAATTTATCAGCTAATGACAACCTCAGTTATTCATTAACTCACTAATATAAGGGAAAAATAATGCAATACTAGAAAAGGGAAAAATACCTTTTCTCTCAAAGCTTTCTTCTCTGACAAAACAAACAAGAGCGAGGAATTTTGTCACCTCTTTTAAATAAAGGACAGTTGTATTATTCAGTTTTATGATTGCCATTGATTCTTTGTCATAAGGGGTTCCAGTGCCATCATCTTTAAGCCTAAAGAGCAGTATTCAAACAAACAAACAAGAAAAGACACCAGATTAGTTAACAAAAGTACTGCTACATTGGTTCTCTCACCAAAGAATCTCAAACTTTATGAAATCTTCCTTTTCATCTTTCAGGCAGACTCTTCTTCAAACTACACACTAGTAAACTAAGAAGACAAAGAGATTAAATTGTTTAACACATCACACACCAAACCTTAGATCTGGGACTAGAAATCAGGTGGTTTGATTGTCAAGTGCCTGAACTGGAACCTTATTTTTTCCTCAGTAAGTTACCACCCATTTACCACAAGGCTGCTTTTTTTTTAAATCAGTGCTTTATATTATGACTTATCATAAACATATGAAACAGTAGGTCTGTACTGATAACTCCAAACCCAGTAACCTTGCTTGAGTGGTAGCAGCTGACTGGTAGTTTAAGACATCATGAGACTTTCCTCATGAGATGTTTGCTTTTGCAACATCATATTATGAAAAGAGATTTCTCCTTCACAGATGCTGTGTCATGATGATCACTGCATTATGTTTTTGTACATCATTGTAACATTGTAATTTTATCCTCATTCCTGAATGCACACACAGATATTGTTAAATTGATTCTTATCACCAACCTCCCAGAACAATTAGTCTCAGTAACATATTAAAGTGGCAACTTCCACAGATGCTCCAGGAACAGAGGACAAAAAATTAATTGTAATATCATTTTTAGTCTGTAGCTAAAAAATGGCAAGCAGATCTCTGGTGATAAAGGCTAAATGGCTACACAAGCACAGTGGCAGAATGATATTTTGTAAATAAAGAGCCCCACAAATGGTGTTGTACACATAATTATTAAATGCACACTCTTTTGAACTACACAGCAGATTCTTTCTGTTTACAAAAATCAGCATTCTTTATTTTATACCTCTGTAAAACAAGTTCTAACACAGCTACTGAAGTGATGACTCCAAAATCTGAAACATATGGTAGAATATACAAACTTTAGAGATTTTAGGTTAAGTATTCAAGTTTATTGTTCCAGTGCTTATTGCACGTGTGCACCAGGACTCTCCCTTGTACCCCCTTCCAGAAAGCAAGAAGCCTACCAGTGGTACAAATGCAAAGCTAGCCCATTGGCCTCCAAATGTCAGCATCTTAGTGCACTAATTCTTAATGTGCCCCTGCCTTTCCCAGGAGTGGCTGGCACTACACTTGGCCAAGGGCCCAGCCACTGAACACATAACTTGCAAGCAGATGTACATGTTAGCCCAGGAGATTTCCACTTGCTAGTGTACAAAAAGGGGAAATTGAAAAAACCCAGAAAGGTCATAAAGGGAATAGAGGACAAACAGAGAACTGAAGTGAGAGTGAAACAACTCTCTGAGGCTATTAGAGACCACTGGCTATTAAATAAAACTCAATATGGCCCCACTTCTTTTTAAAACAGGAGGCGTCCCTCTGTTGATTTCATCCCTAGGGAAAAAAATGATGAGGTTTCCTTTTATTTTAGGTTGGTTTCTTCTGACTTCTTCCTCCAAATAAAATTATTAGCATAGAAATAGGAAGATGCTCACAAAAGAGACTGAACAGGGAACAATCCTTGTTTCTGAGAAGGATCAGTCTCTCAGAAGCCAGCCATGTCCTCCCCTGCCGGCAAATTACCCATTCTAATTATTGTTTCATCCACATCACTGGAATTTTGAGGCTATTCAGATTCTCAGTACACAGCTTTATGGAAAACATTCACAATTTACTTACCCATATATACAAGAAATGTCAATCACAACATCTATCATATCACAGCAGAGCTCGTAAGTTTGCATATCCACTGGAGTGCTGTCTGTTGCAATATAGATCTTACTGACTACATCAAATAAAAATGCTTTTTCAATCCCAGAATTCTATTCAAGAGAAGAAAAAAAGAAAAATAAAGTGGAATCCATGTTTTCAAATTAACCCCAAGCTTTTCTGTTCCCTTACTTGCCTGTTATACAAAAAGCCTAGGCTAAAGAAATTAAATTGCAATCAAGCTCATTTTGAAAGAACTGTACATACAGCACTGTTGTATTTGTAGCAAACAATAATGCTCACAAACCTTCCAATACTTTCTGCCTCTGAGCAGACATAATGACATAGTGACACTCCCAAACTGCTCAACCTGGAGAAATTTCTTTTAAGTGGAAAATGAAGGAGGGCAAGGGGGGAGCAGAAAAATCTTCCAAGTTCAAGATTTTGGTGTTTTAATTGTAGCAACAGCCATAAAAGAAAGCTGCAATCTAAAGTTATTCTAAGTGGGCATATGAGAAGATAGAAACAAGAGAAAGAAAACACTGATGGACAAAGAAGACAGTATTGCTCAGGAACTGATTTCCAAGGAAATTAAGAAGTTTTTCCATTGCAGTCTGTAGCTGTTTTAGTGTCTGGTTCTGTAGAACATCTTTTAGGATCACAGGAGAGAGAACAGTGTTGTGATGGTGCCTTCAGGTTTCACACAGCACTGGTAGTTAAAGCCATGTTTAAAATGCTAAGGCTTGCTACAATGATGACAGCCGTGTTCCTGTGATCCTGCCAAGCTGATTAAGACACTCTCCACACTGGAGATGTATCGTATTCACAGCTCTGAGAAGCTAGCCAGGAATGCTAGCTCTTACTCTTTGTGTAGATAAGGTAAACTGCCATAAGCCTCTGCTTCCTGGAAGAAAAAATTGTACTTCTTAACTGAAAACAGTAGCCTTGCTGGCTGATGTCAAAGGATTACACCTGCACACCTGTCCCAGCATGAAAAAAGGGCAATTTCCCAGAATTGCTAAAGCACAAGCTATGAAATACTCTTCCATCTATATGGGAAGACAAGCAATTTTCTCCATCCAACTGAACTGTCTCCAGAAATTCCCATTTTAACAGGGTTTGGGACTGCTGCCACAGTAGTTCTGTAACCACCAAAAACCACACTGAAAATCCCTAACGAGTTTTAATAGTTTCAGCTTCTTTTGTACAGTTACAGAACTTTTCCATTTTTTCTTCCTTCTTTCCTAAGTCAACTGTTTAACACATAGTTAAGTAACTAAAGTGACTCTCCTGCTCTCCATATTTCCTGAAATAGGAAGAAAAATTTCCAACACTAGATATGCTATTGAACAATGGCCAGCAGTATTTTGGGCATTTTCTCCTTAAAGAGGCATCATTCCTCCACCACTGCACACAGAGCTAAGGCTGCAAACATCCATTAGTAATAAAAGAGTATAGGGGTGAATTTCTTGTATTTCATAATAGAAAAACTCTCTGAGTGGCCTATTTCAGTAAGTCAGTAATAAAAAAATATTAAAAACAAAGCACACACTGTGGATACCTTAGGTAAATGGGCTGAAGCACAGAATGTACAAGGAGAGTCTCAAAGAAATGGCTATGTTCAACCTGAAGAAGAGAAGACTTACTGCTATCTACAAATAACTAATGTAAGGGTTCAGAGAAGCCAGAACCAAGCTCTTCTCAGAGCTACAATGCTGAAGGACAGAAGACAAAAGGCACAGGCTGGAATTCTGACTTGATACAAGAAAAAAAAATTAACAGAAGAGTGGTGAAGGATTGGGAACACGCTGACCTGGGAGTTTGTAGTGTTTCCATCTTTCCAAATGCACAAAGCTGAACTGGACCCAGCAATAACCAACTTGCTGTAACTGGCCTGACTCTGAGCAGCAGCTGATCTCTAAAGGTCTCTTTCAGCCTTCAGGGTTCTATGAGTCTATGTTCTTTGAGCACAAAGAACAAAAATGTATGCATATTTAAGCTGCTTGTTCTGGCCACATATGGGAGTTCTGTAATTTTATTTTTTAAATAGTAATTCTGACAGCACCTCACACAGTTCAACAGATGCTGTCAAATAAGATTAATTACAAGAGTTCTTTTGAAAAATCATGTAAGTACATAGCTATAAGTCATGGCCAAAATTGTATTTGAAAATACAAGTCATTTCAGACAGAAGAAGCTGAAACTTGAGCCCTGCAGTGTCATTCATGAGAAGTCAATTGCCAAGTTTTGTATTACAAAAAGAGAGACATAGCAATGATTTCAGCTGTACAGATAAGATGCACTTTAAATTATTAAGATGCGAGTGACAATATAATAACATTTAACAATGAGAAGTGATTTTTTAATCTCAGAGCTCTAGGTGCTGCAGCCTGCCTGTACTTGCAGTGACAGTTCAGAAAGTTTTCTGAACGTTTGCCAAGAACATCTTCAGACATTCTGCCATGCCAGCAGTTACACCTGCTGGTTAAGGGCAGAAATTGGTCTCTTAAACTATGCTTGTTTTCAATTGCAACTGATCCATTGTGGTAGGACCTGCTGAGAAACTGCATGTATTTGCTTCTTTAGAACTTGTATGGTAACAGAAACCTCTGTGAAATGCATGGACTGCCAGGAGCAGTAACCACTAAATTCACCCACATGCCTTCCAATATTTCATCTGCCAGGGTTTTTAGTACAACTGTAACCAAAAAGTCAAAGGATTTCCCAGAATTTTTGTGTGGAAACTACTCAACACTCCACCCTCCACCTGCTACCCCTAGCCCACAAAAGAACCCAAACAGAAATTATAGAAACAGTAATAAAAAGTCATTAAAACCAGGAAAAGGTGGATTAAAAGTAATGTTCAAAGAGACATTACATCATTACTGCTTAGGGAAAATTACAATAAGAAATCAACTGTTTCTGTTACTGGAACTGGTGGGTTCCTTAGTGAATGAAAGGCTGGCATTGATTAAATGAGAGCAGAGCCTGAAAAAACACCAGTTCTCCCTGCCACAACCCTACAGTCTGCAGAGAAGATGCAACATGTGCTAAAGTCATTCTGAATTGATGTAAGAATATTCCATGGTTAATCTGAACCAAGAGAGCCATTGTGAAAAATCTGCAATGAATATATGAGATTTTATTTTGGATAGGTAAAAACCATGAGGTACTTGAAATTCAAACCATGTCTCTCAACTATACGGGGTGTGATGATGTAGAAGACATCTAATCCTTAAATAGAATAGGTTCCGTAAAAGTGGTAGTATTCCTCCAATCCTAGGACAGGTAAGCAGGCCTATCTTTTTCTGTCTTTAATGTATGAAAGTAAGCCAGAATTTGGCCCTAAAAAGCAACTCTCAAAAGAACTTAAGAGGATATTGCCAGTCACATCCAGTTAGCAATGAATTTTGGACAATTATTTAAACAGGCATTACATCACACAGCAGATTTCGCGAATTAATTTTTATCACTACATTTGAATTTACAGATTACAAAATTTAAATCATTAAATGATCAAAACTGTATATAATTTTATTTTTACTATAATAATTGTTTGGTTTAATACATACTTTTTAATATCCCTCAAAACAGACCAAACAACCTCAAATTACAATACACTTTCCTATGTCACACATCTTGATTGGTTAATAAGGTCACAGTAATTAAGAAATAGGCATCCTTCTATATGAAGCTGGTGTGTTATCAGATAAGATTAACGTGGATTTTTAGTGCCAGTTATTTAATGACTTACAAGCCCTTACATTAAAGAATGCAGAAGCAGTATTATCACACTGATGGATCCTCAAACATGCTCACACACTGTGGCGTTATAAACTGGGGAAAAAACCTGCTGTGAACTTAAGAGTGATCACAGATCTATTTTTGTAATTGTCAGCTTTTTGTGTTGGAAGTCTCTGTGGCATAAATGAAAGCACTTCCTCGTGAATGCGCTGAAACTGAAAAGTAGAACACGAACACACCCCCGCCCTGATATCCAACACATGGGCTTCCTGAGATAAGGCATGACAAAAACCATGCCAAAATTTGTTCCTACTAAGTTGCCAAGGTAAAGAGGCACCCCCTAACTAATTGTATGCAGGAGAACGATGCTTACTTAATCTTCCTGTGGTTGCAAATAATCATTCTGAGTCTCTCTGTCTGCAGACAGAAGATACTTGTAATAACAGCAAGCATACTGAGGACAAAGTGATGCAGCTACACATGGCCCTAGGTCATTTAGAAACTGGAGCAAAGAAAGAGTCTGAGACTTTTCCCATACTGAAGAGGGGAAATAGCACACCTCCCTCACTTTTCTGGACATCCCATTTGTTTGAAATACTTTTTCTTCCTTACAAACTGTACCTGATATTGTAGGTGTGATTGGAGCTGGGTGTTCCAGACACATGAGCAATTGTTATCAGTCATTCAGGAAGCTGCCTGTGCTCAGCTCATGTGGAGATTCTGCACAAACCCTTCACCAACTCCAAACAGTGAGGAGACTCCATACAGAGATCTGACTCACAAAGAGTGACTGGAGTGACTCTGGCACAGGGAAGACTATTATTCAGCTAGCTTTCTCTGAAAGACTGCGAGCCAAAACCACTATCTAATTGCTCTAGAATTGTTGTCATCATTTCTTCATTAACTTTCTGCCATGGAGTTTTGAGACTACATGATAATAACTGGTATACAGTCTAGCTGTTTTGGAAGAAACAGGTCTTTGTAGCAAACTATTAATTATGACACTATATAAATGTGCTGTTTAATTAAGGGAATAATTTTGGAATGACCTTCCTCTATTCCTAGCTTTCCCTATCACATCCAACTTTTATCTCTCTCCATTTCCACACTGAGAATCCATGAAGTCTAATTTTATCTTACAAGCTGTTGAATGATATTAAATAATTTCTTATGTCAAAATCACAAGAAGACACAATAAAGTATCTTGCTCGGAAATTGAAGCTTCAGAAATGAGTGCTGGATGCTAAGCACAAAATTAGAATATTATGAGAAAGGGTGCAGTTTTCAGAGCAACTATGACCTGATACAACAACCACTAAAACAGGGAGTTTCCCCTTTTCACAAATTACTCCCTGTGCTCCTCTTCACTCACTGCCCCATGTTTCCATCTCTTACCTTGTGTCAGAACAAGAGCATGCTGGACTCCTCCATCACCTGCTTTTAACTAAATGAAGCAGTGCATAAGTGCATGGTATAGTAACTCCATGAGGGAACAAGTGAGTGTCAGAGCCAGTACGAAGGAAAGGAAGAGATCAGACATACCAGGAAGAGTGGAGCAAACAATTTCTTCCCCAGTGGTAACAAACCAATAGATACACAAAACTCCCTAACTGGCCTTCAAAGTAACTATGGAAGTGGTGAAAGTTGTGGAGGAATCCATGTCTAAAAATTTCATGACATAAGATGATTTTCTTAAGCTCAGTAAACTTTCCAATACAAAATAAAATTAATTCTGGGAACCACTACAGACAGCTCCCCATATGAGGTCAGACTAGATAATCTTCCTTTAAATATTTAGTCATAGAAGGTTTAAGTGCAACTTCAACATATACATGCAGCACAGACTTTTGCAACATTCAGACTGATGCTACAAGCAGAAAAGTGATGGCAGCTAACCCACTTCATGTGACTCAGGAAATACTCTGAGTATCTCAGCAGCTCATCAATGCTGTCTAATAGACATGGAAGTGAGGCCAAGCTGCATGGGGGTGCATTTCAACTAAGTTCTGATCATTTCTCTGAGAGTTCACATTGCTCATGATCTCTTAAGAAGGCAGTGAATAGAGTATCTAAACATGCATGTTGGACACAGCCAGATCTACAGACAAAGGACATAGGAAGTACTTACTGAAATAAAGATGTTAAGCAGGTTTTCCAGTGTTGGGAGCTGTGGAATCAGTTTCTGTACCACTTTGCTAAATGCTTCAAATATAGAATGATCATATATGCTTGTCAGATAAAAGCTGGAAAAAAATGTCACCACATTTTCCTTTTAGCCACATACTGTGAACATGATGTACTTTTCACAATATGAGTGAAATAAAATATTGTCAGACAGTAAGTGCCTACACTAATGCAATTACCCCCTGTGATCAAAAGTCATGATATGGTTGAAATACAGGACTTAATCTCTATACTAAAAAAAACCCCAGCCTGAACAGTGAAATCTAGAACTCAATGTAGAACTTTTTAATGCAACTCCCACACTGGTATTCTTACAAAAATATTTATCAAATTTCAGGAGAGGAGTATTCTTACAAAAATATTTATCAAATTTCAGAGGAGTGTTACTGAGTATGCCTATTGTGATCTACTTTTTGAAAGCTGTGTCCCATTTATCAGTGCGGTGATGCAGTCGAGTAGTAGTGATGCAGTAGTGCAGTGATGGAGTAGAGCTCTAAAGAGCTGGCATGTTCATGGATCAGGCCTCTCATTTTAATATATTTGGCTTTAAAGTGCTCAGAAAGCCATGACAACTTGATGTCCTCTGGTTCCCAGCCTGCAAAGTCCTCTACTTGTCACCGTTTACTACATTAACCCATTTTACCAGAGGACACAAGGCAAAGCTACAGCACAGGTGTTCCCAAGCGGCTCTGAGCAGGCTGCAGCAGCGAGGATAAGTGAGTGGCACAGGGCTTTCAAAGGAGGCAAAGTGATGTGGTGCCATACACACTCCATGGCCTGGAACTCTACTGGTTGTTGTCACTGTCCAAGTCAATTTATTTCAAGACAGCAACTGCAGCAAAACCTGATAGTATTCTGGCATGTTTGTCATGTGTTATTAAGCAGCTCTCCATCTTTCCCTTCTAAACAGCAATCAGAAATAGGATACTTTGGCTCAGGTCAAATACAGGGTCTCTGATTATCCTTCATATATCAAAAGCATGTTGCCTGCTAGTTCAAGAGGACAGAAAATAGTAACTTGTCAAATAAGCTGCTCTCCTCTTTAGCATTCACTGCACAGCAACTTTTCTCACCTGAGGTGAATCTTCTCCAATCCAGCATCTGCAAGGTCGTCATTTGCTCTCTGGTGAATATCCCTCTGTGTTTCAATCTTATGGTCATCAGATAAACCATCCACTTTATGGATAAAGATTTCAAAGTTGATATCTGGATTCACTTTATAAGCTCTGGTCACAGTAAGATGCAGCCGAGCTAATGCTTCCATATAATCATCCTAATAAAGGAAAAAGAAGAGCTACAACTTGGGAAAGTACTCAAAAATATATATTATACTTAATGATACTTATTTTTAAATAGTACTACAGCTCAACAGCAGCTTGATTTTTCAATGTTTTAAAAGTAGAAGCCTGAGCCTACATCCAGCATGTGCACCAATCTCATGCTGTCAGCACTTACGAATCTGAGCAAGAACCTTGAGATGTTAAAACAAATTAGTTAACTTCCAAACACACTGCAGGGAGAGATTAAAAATAGCCAAGCTGCTCTTCAAGTTTTAATGATTTCTTTTAATGTGTGTTTGTGATGTAGATTATTTATTTGCTTTGAAAAACCGTCCCATTTGTCTATTGCTGAAGGAAGAAAAAAATAGCTTAAAGCCCCTTTTTTTACCTGAGAATCAATAACAAATATCAGTGCTCCAGTGCCTCTGAAAATCATCTCATAATCAAACGTAGGGTCAAAGAAGTCAATTTGCCCAGGAAAATCCCATATCTGAAAGTTGACAAAGGAGCTGTTGGAAACATCCTCTCTGCAGATCTTGTTTGTGCTCTCCAAGAAGAGAGTCTCATTCGGCGACATTTTGTGAAAGACAACTTTCTGAATGGAAGACTTTCCACTTCTTCTCAATCCCATGAGTAGGATTCTTGGCTTAACTTCAGTACTGAAGGGATCATTGAAATCCAAAACTGAATAAAATCACACAAGAAGAAAAGGAATATACTATGGCAATATAATTAGTAACTGCCAGATAACATGCATTTGATATTTATTTTCATGAAATGTTTATATTAATTTATGCAAATGTATCCAATGTTTAGGCTTAGAGAGAAGTGCTACAGGCATTTTGACTTTAATTATTTGCCCCTTAGGGTATACTATCAGAAAATCTACTTCTCACCTCCAAGACAAACTGCAGAAGGTTTGACTGCTCTGTTTGTATGTGAAAAATCTGTTATCACACATAGACATCTTTAAATACCTAATTTTACTCTAATTAACACTATGCCACATATATTCTCCTTTAAAAGAGTATCATCTGATAACAAATACCCTTTCCAGCAGATAGCTACATCACAATGCTGAAGAACAAGGTAAGACTCTGTTAAGTACCTCTGCATGATCTTTCTACCTGAGGGCTGCCTTTCTCTAAAATCAATCAACCAATAAATAAACTAATAATGAAATCACACATGCAAGGAGCTACAGGAAGAGTTCAACTCAGCAGGCACACAGGGCTTCTATGTTGCTTACTGAGTAAGCAACTGCTTACTGAGCTCATGAGGAGTCCTTTCCTAAGGTGCTTAGGATTTCACTTGCTGCTCAGCAATTCGTGTTACAATCTGTAAAGGTTTGTTATCCAATAAATAAGATTACAGCATATCATCTGCCTATTTGCAAAACAAAGGCCTGGGAACACAGGGGTTTCATTGTGTTACCTACTCCAGTTTGAAACTGGCACTATTTTTTCTGGTGCTGATGCAGTTATATCAGCATCAAGTGGTTCCAACAGTAAACTATGCTGTTATATCTGTAAGGACATGAATGTATAGCTATCCATTCCTGGACACACTTTAGCTTCAGGTTATCTCTAATCAAAACACCCAAAGATGTCTAAATTGCTGCATCTAGCTGGCCTATAACTTTGAAATGTCCTTTGGTGCTGAGGTGAAATGGCACTGCCTTATATGTAAAAAGCTTTGAAACACCTCTGTGACTCTGCAGTGTCAAATACAAGCAGCACAAAAAAAGGAGTTTTCAGTGCTAAACCCACAGAGTACAACCCAGAGTACAGAGAGGTCAGGTTTAAAATACTGATCACACAACAGGCTAAACATACTATCCAGTGGGGTTTGGTAGACCTTCTATCCACTGCACCACAGACTATTCAGATCATACTTTGTAGCACAACATAATTGCATTTCTTTTTTCTGCTGGGATAAGTTTTGAATTGCAAAACTTATCTGGCACACATTTATTCACACGCATCATTCCTGAATATGCCCTGCATATGTGGTCAGCTTTACTCCCAAAATATTAAAATTCAAAACAAGAAATCTCAGTAACAGTTTGAACCTGAAAATTTATTACATTATCAGCCAAAAGAAGATGGAAAGCTTAAAGGAATCCTTTGCCTAGGAGCACGTTTTGCACCTAGGTGGTGACCAGATCTTGCATCTTCTTGTGTGCCTGAAGCCTCATTCACAGCTTTCAGAACCAAAGGAGCAGGGTATGTCTGCCAGGAGGGTACAGAACTGTGTCCAGGTCTGTTTGTGCCTCCCAAATTTGAGTGACAGAGAAGCATGGCTTCTCAAACTGAAGATATTGCAGTGTTAGCATAAAACATCTCCTGGCACCATCTACTGGCTTGTGAGAGGTTGTGCCACTCAGTGCAGGTCCGTGTCACCAGTGACTGAAGAAGTTTTCAACTCATTATCCAAGGGATCCTGTCCATTTCAAATGCAATTGAAAAACCATGGCAGGTATTACCCCTTACTGTGTTCTTGTCATTTATCACACACGAACACTGCAAGGCAGGAACATGTGCACAGGGGAAACACTTTCAGACAGAACAGGGATAGGTAACTCTGTAAGAATCTCATCCAATAAACACAGCAATGGCCGCTTCTGCTGATCTACACACAACAAATTTACGAACTAAGAAACTGAGGTTAACGTGCTCCTCTACTCTTCCCATCACCTTGAACAGAGGTAGCACTCCTGTGGCTGGGAGAAATGTGCCTACAATACTTCACAACTCCAGAAGAATAATAAACATCTGCTCTAAGATGATGTAAAGATATTTTATGTTTTGGGAGTACAGCCTTGTAATAAACCAAACCAAATATGCAAGAGTCAATGGTGTACACTCCATCTCACTCAGCTTTTTGGCCATGAGAAGAGAAAATAATTTATTCAAAGCTTTGTCAAGACTTTATAAAAACATGTAAAGAACAGGCTTCAAGTTGAGGCTTTATTGCATGCTTCAAACAAATAAAAAGACTCCCATTTGCTCTGTATGCAACTGAACTTACAAAGTCTCATCTACCATGGATTTGTACTTTGTGTCCCCTTCCTCTTCCCACCACAAAAACACCAACTTCCTCCTTTATGTCTTATGACATCTCCTCCAAATAATAGATATGACATGCTGTGGCTGATCTGGAGCTCAGCACATTTCAGTTGGCTGCACTGTGTGCACCCGTCTGCCAGCTGCTGCCACAGTGAACGCACAAAACTGCTCACTTGTCCCTCTGAGGACACTTCATTTAGCTTTCTCCTCTCTTTGGAAAACCAGTTTTCCTCAAACTTGTGGAAACTTAATAACCTTTGAGATGTCTTTTGCTCAGACTTGGTTGAAGGTGGACAGCAGTTTCCAAGATTCTGACCACTGATGACACAACCAGAGGACAAGCTACATACCTAACTCCCTTTTCTTGAGAAACAGCCTAAAACCCCACACATATCTGAAGAAATATTTTAAATCATTTGGGAGTTTTTACGTTGTGGTATTAAATTATTCCAGGCTGTTAGATTTTTACTGATTGTAATGCTTAATAGCAGGAAATTGCTTTCTATTAAAGCCATACTAAAAAAAATACAGTTGCAACTGCAAACAGAATTAGCAATAAGAATGAAGCTCTTCTGCTAGTAGGACTGTTACTTAGCTTTTGAAATCCTGCCAGTTCAAAGACAGGGAAATGTAAGAGTATCATCCAAACCTGACGAGACAGCAAGGCTTCTACAGCACTTCCCTCCCAGAGAGAGTTAAGAGATTACCTTATATGTAAAGGAATTGGACGATGCTTTGCCTGCCCACATTCCTCTGCAGGAGTACATGACAACTCCTTTTTTAATTTGCCACAGAAATGCCAGTAGATGTATCATTGCAACTTCCCAGACTAGGTTACTGAGTGAGATCATAATATGCCCAAGAGAAACACTAAACTCTTCTCTGTTCTATAACGGGAAAGATAATTTTCCCTATTGTGAGATGCCACACATTTCCTGCTTCATTCACTTTTGCAAACAGTAAATGTTTTAAAATGCCAGTCTCTAATGCATATCAACAGTCCTTCATGTTTCAACTAAGCAGCCATAAAGAACAGAAGCCATGCTGGTTAGAGGCCATTCCTTTGAAGTATTCACAAATTTAACTCAACAAACCTAAAAGCACTTTCCCCCAGAAAAGCACTCCATTCCTTACAGAACCTCTGTTAACCACAGCTGTGTCCTTGAATACGGAGTGTTTTGCATGCATTGCAACATGCAGAAGAGCACAGCTCCCAGGAGTTGAGAACAGCATGCAGCACTCCCAGCCTGTCTCACCAGTCCACAATGAATACTTTAGTATCTCCTTTATGCCATTAGATATACAGAGATAACTAAAGCAGTTTTTGAAGCCTATCCTGAGTAACAGATCAACTGCAATTAATTGTCAAAGCAGGTGACAACCCATGCTTTGTGGGCATATGGGATGGGGATGCCTCGTTCTGTACATCCCACCAGCTTTCAAACATACAAATGAAACATCACAGCTCATCTGCTCAAGTAACATAAAGCCAAAAGGAATTATTTTGCTCATGTTACCAACTGCAAGGTAACAAGCCTCTTAGTCTAGGTTTGAACTAATACAGCTAATGATGATTTTTTTTTCCCCACTAATTCAGTTATTTTAAGTTTTAACCATTTCTGCGTAAAGGAGAGGTAGCAGTTCAATCCAAACTTTCTACTCTTACCTTCAAAGCCATTATTCCTGTAGCATTTCCAGTACTGCTGTGACTGTGGTATTTGCAGCACTTTGGACTGCTGTCAAGACAATGCCCTTACAAAACACTGAACATCCTCAACGCTAACAGATGGCCTGAAACTAAAGAGTTAACAGAAAAAGCCTGTATGCTATGAAGAAGGGTGTTCAGCTACTGGGAGCTCATAGACATCGCAGAAACACCTGGTGGAAAGAAATTCTTGTGGCTACAGAAAAAACTCAGAAGTGTCTCTTCCAGAAGATCAGGTCCCACGCTGCCGCAAGTGCAGCACTCTGCAGGGGTACGTCTTAAAGCCACTTTCTTGGGACACTCTGCAGAGAGCTTTCCTGCTTCTAAACACTTTTAAATTGCATCTATAAAAAATATGACTAGGCTTTATGTAAATTCAAGCGTTTTAAGGTCCCTGAATATGACCCTAAGTGTAAACAAAAGACAAGAGCCATGGTTTCAGCCCTGAAGCTGGAGACACTAACCCAGTATAGGGTGAGGGATGACCAATGTGAAGTTTTGAAATCTTCTGCATACTTACAAGAAGAAATTATGCTTTTACTTTTAAGCCTGCCTTCTCTCTTTACTGCCAATAGCCATGCATTGAAACTGTTCTTCTTATATTGCCCTTTTCATTTTTTCTTTGTGGAAAAGTGGAGGCAGTGACACTGAATTTTGGACTACTTGCCATACAGAGCCAGGAAGAAAGGACAAAAAAAAGGGGAAAGCCCCCTGCCCTGTAGCCCAGTGTTATACAAAACACAGACCCAAATCCCAACCCCCTCCAGTTCAGATGCTGTCTGCCTCTTTCTCTGGAGAATTCAAAACGAAACAGAAAACCAGGGAATCTGGACAGTCAAAATGTCCAGATTGTTTTAATCCTGTGTAGAATAGTCTCTGCATGGACTGACTTCTGCTATTGAGATGTAAAGGTTTTTTTCTGTTAAGCACAATATTCTGGTATTACTGTAAAGAAGCAATTGCAATTTTTAGCAGTCTAACAAGTTCCTATTCAAAAATATCCAAATGAATTTGTCTGAAGACAGTATATGGGTTAGTCCTCTACAGAAAACACTAAGTTAGTGTAGCACTAAAGAATCACATTAAAATTTATCCTCTTTGCATCAAAATAAAGGCAATTCTTTAGCAGGTTCAAGTAAGACTTTATTTAATCTCAGTTACAGCCTTTACAGTCCAACATTCCTATAGCTTTAACCATGAAGGCTTATACTCAAAGCACTGACCCTCCTCCACTCCCCAAAATTACATTAGTCAGTTCAGCACCTTCCATGGCAGCCTGGAGGACTGGGCCTTTAAGGAGAAGAGTTCTGCACGCTAATATCGAAATAGACTTAAAGCATGTGGCCTTTTTATTATGCTCTTATAAAAAAGCACTTCTTTTTTTATCCTGTGATACTGAGAGTTCTCCAAGCTCCTTTGTGAAATATGTCTCAGAAGAATGAATTCAGGCTCTGAATGAACGCAACAGGCTCTGAGCTGGCATTTCCTTTTTCTACTGAATGAGACTGCTTTTCCTGGTAAGCCCGTCCTTCTCAGCATCACCATCCCTACTGACACGGACATGCAGTGAGTAAGGCGGCTCCCCACAGGCACAGACAGACGGACATTTAGCAGAGCCTGCTACTGTGGGACTGACACTCGCAGCTGCGGAGCAGCCCCGGACACAGAGCTGCGTGTGGCCGCTGCCTTTTATAGCGTGACACCCAACCCCCCACCCTGGCACACTCGGGGCACATCATCAAGCTGTGGCCTCCAATAACTAATAACTCTCACCCCAGACTGGAAGAATACTGATGAGAAATCACACACACACACACACACACACACACACACACACACACACACACTTTGCCTGCACTCCCTTTGCCTCCTCCCTCTTTTCCCAACGTTTCCTGCTACCTGTCAGCCTTGCCCTGCTCCTTCCTCAGAGCTCCCTGCACCCTCTGACCCACCGAGCACCCCGTCCCCGTCCCGGCCCTTCCCACGGCACCTCCGCAGCATCCTCGCTCCGCCTGGCCTCCCAGCGCCCAGCCCCGTCCCCACTTGGGCCTGCCCTCCCTCTGGACGCCTCGTCTTTCCCCGCACCGCTGGCCCCGGCTCCCCTCGTGTCCCAAAACCCGCGGGGCACCTCGCCTCCTCCCTGACCCACATCCGCGGGCCGCCAAACCTCACCTCCTGGCGGCGGCCCTGCGTCCCCCGCCACCGTCCCGGCCTCACCCCGGCCCCCGCCCCGCCTCACTCCACACCCGCGCTCGCTGCCGGCCGCTCCTCCGCAGCCCCCTCCGAGCCTGGTGCTTCCCCCTCGGCGCTCCGGGAGCAGCCCCAGCCCAAGCCCCAGCCGCCGCCCCCGCAGCCCCGCGGCCACCGCCCCGCCGCTCCCGCCGCCTCCGGTGCCGCTGCGGCCGCCGCGAGCGGCACTCACACGCCTCATCGCCGCCGCTCTCCGCGTCGCCGTCCGAGAAGGACTCGGCCCCGTCGGCGTAACCCGCCAAGCCCACGATCTCCTCCTCCTCTTCCTCCTCCTCGTCCCCCTCTTCCTCCTCCGGCAGCTTCCTCGGCACCTGGCTCATGCCGGCCGCGCTCCTGGCGGGGCTCCCGGCCCCTCTGCCTGCGGCAGGCTCGGGGCGCGGGGGGCGCAGGTCCCGCGCTGGCGCCGCGCCCGCCGCCGCTCCCCTCCTTCCCCCCGCACGGCGCTGGCGGAGCGCGGCGCAGCTGCCGGCGGGGCGGGCGGGGAGGCGGCGTGACCCGCGTCACCTGACGCGCCCGGTCACGGGCCGCCGGGGCCGCCGGGGCCTCCGCGCTCGCCGGGCCCGCTCCCGAGCCCGGCCGTGCCGCTGGCACCCCCGCGCCGGCGGGCATAGCCGGGCGCTGCGGGCTCACCGGCGGGTCTGAGCAGCGTCGCCACCGCTCGCCCCGGCCCTGCTGTCCCGAGAGACGTCCGTGGGAGCCGTGCACCCGCGAGGCGCTGCCCCTGGCTTGCGGGGCGCCGCGGTGGGCGAGTGGAGTGGCCGGGTGTGCCCGGCAGCGGCACCGAGAGGGCACCTGGCGTTTCTATTACAAGCATCCCTGCTCAGAATCCTTACAGTCACAGAATCAAATAGGTTGGAAAAGACCTATGGTATCATTGAGCCCAACCTATGACCAAACACCCCCGTGTCAGCTGCACCGTGGCTACTAAGTGCCATGTCCAGTCTTTCCTTAAATACGTCCGGTGACTCCACCACCTCCCTGGACAGTCCATTCTGAATCTAATCACCCTCTCTGTGAAGAATTTCTGCCCAATGTAGAACCTAAATTTCCCCTGAGGCAGCTTAAGTCTATGCGCTCTCCTCCTGTCACTGGTTGCCAGGGAGAAGAGTCCGATCCCTATCTGGCTACAGCCTCCTTTCAGTCAGTTTGAAGAGTGTGGTAAGGTTTCTCCTGAGCCTCTTCTTCTTGGTCAAGTCCTGCAACCTCATCCTGCACAAACTCCAGAGATAGGCGTGGGAGACGTTCCTGTATCATCTGTATACATTTCCAGCAAGTGGGAGGCTCTGGGACATGGGCAGAGCCATGTGTGCTTGGTGCTGCTCAGCTCACCCATCTGCCAAGCACTGCCTGCTGCCCTGCCCCCTGCTCCTTCCATGTCATCACACGGGCAAGCCCAAAATGTTAATCTAGGCACTGATGGTGGGAGGTAATGTATTTGCAGTATGGGTTAGAGAGATTATTTTAGAGATAATTCACTTGATTAATAAGGAACACTAAGAGACATAGTAGTGAATTCCCTGAAGAAGTTGAGATTTTGATGTCCCTGACTGATCAAGGTGTCCTCATCTCCCTGCCATTGCTTCCTCCAGGCTTGCTCTGCAAGGACAGACCTCCTGCCTCACACCCAGGCTCCTTCTCAGGAGTTTCAGTGCTGCTCTTCTTATCTTGTACCAGTCTAAGCTCCAGTGTGTGTGTTAGTCCCTGGCTGTCATCCCATGCTGCCCACTGTAGTGACTGGCAGCTGAATTCCTCATTCTCCAACACCAAATTTTCCTCTGTTTCTGTTTCTTCCTTTCTACTTCCTCCTCTCCTGTTCTCCCTCCTTGCATTCAGTTTATTGATTGGACTTCTGTTTGGAGTCTCCACTTTTTTCCTGCAGCTGATTATTTTTCTGACCTCTGTGCTGCATGACAATCTTATCGCCAGGCCTTCCAGTTTGTACTAAACCACTGGAGATAATGGAGGTACACATCTGTTCAGAGGTGGGAGAAATTCCCCTTGCCCATTAATATACAAATTTATTGAAAGGTCTGCCTTTATTCTCAACTTACCAACCTTCTTGAAGTTTTGCTTGAACAGATTAACAATGTACTAAAAGATTATGGAAACCTTTCAAGATTAAATCCTCTAAAAGGAATTAGGACTTTGTTTTTATGCAGGATTTTTTTACCACTTGAGTTTTCAGCATTGTGTCTTGGGACAGCCCTGGCAGGCATTAGCCTGCTGAAAACTGATGGAAAGAGGAAGAGTTTCCAGGTGTGTAATGGAGGAGCATCTGTCTCACACACCAGCTGATCCCTTATGTGCACAAAGGGCTGTTAGCCTTCAAGGCCAGCTTTGGATAGGGAGTCTTGCTCAGAAATGTCTGTATTAGGTTTCTTCTATACAGAGAGCTATGAAACATGACCAATGAGAGAGTGAATAATTTGGATATATTAAAATACAAAATCAGGGTGTAGAAACTCAAAAAAGAGGACTAGTTGCAATGCAGCTCTTCCAACAACTGACATCAGTGACCTGACCACAGCTTCAGGTTCAAAGCCACATAGACTCCAGGCCCATTGCCAGGTAGGTTTTTAGAGTAGGGCTGAAGCATTTCTGCCAATCCCTTGGCAATATAATCTGTTGTGGACTCAGGACTTGCCTCAGGACTTGCTCCTCCTCTGTCCCTTTGCCACCGGATTGTTTTCAGTTCCCTCTGCCTTTCCCTTTTGTCAGGTCATTTGACTTTGAAGCTGGGTGCATACAATGAAACAGTGCCCAGCCCTCAGTCACAGGACTTGCAGCAAGGGCAGAGGTAAATAAGAGGTTGCATCTTTGCATGTATGACATGTACAGTGATAGACGTGACTGGACTTTGTCCATGGAGAGCTGCAGTTCACAGACATGATATTCTTTCTGTGTGATTCACTTCTCTTCCCACTAGGGAAAAAAAATCGAGAAGAATACAAAACCAACTGTCTGCATTAGAAAAAGTTAATTTTACTGAAGCACAGGGAATTGTCCCACTGACATCCACACAATCAGGGAGCCTGTCTGCACCTAGGTTTGCAGAATCACAACAGGGTCTCATCCTGTTCCTGTTAAAGAGAGAAAATTTCCATTACATTTCACAATGCCACATTGGTGACAGACCTGTGCCAAGAAAGCTTTTTTCCTATAATGTCATAGCATCTTGTTTCTCAGTTGTAATGATCAAACATAAAATAGTTCTGCCAACTTGTACATATATGGAACTTATTTAACGTACAGGTTAATTGCTACACAAATACTTCTATTCCGACATTAGAATTTTGAACAGTATCAAATTAAATAAAATTCACATGAAGTAAGCCTATCCTGAATATGGAAATGAGCAAACAAAATCGTAGTGTGAAGAATCACAGTGTGTTTTTATGTGTTTTAGCAACTACACTTTAACTTAAGTAGTGACACCAAACTTCAGATAAATGCTGTCGTTTTGGCAAAGTCTTGCTGCAATCAGAGAGGCATCAGAACAATAAATCCAGTCAGTCAGTCAGTCAGTCAGTCAGTCAGTCTTTCCTGGGGAGCACCAAGGGTTTTGATGCAAACCTCTGGTACTACTACTGCCACAGAACAACGACTACCATAGTAATTGTTTAGTGAAAAAGGCATAAGTAGAATAATCTAAAAAAACATTCAAAAGAATATATTCATGACACAACTAGGAAGTGCCTGTGATACTTCAATGTTTAGTTTGTTTAGGGCATCAGTTAATTTAGGGCATTTTGAGAATGCCTTCAAGCCAGAGAAACATCCTCTGAAAGTGATGTGCATGTGAGATCAAGCATTGTATGGGGAACAGCTGCTTGTTTTCTGTTTTCTCCTTCTCCCAGTCCCGCTTTTATCATTTTCCTCAGCCTACTCATACAAACTCCTTTCTGCTCTACCGGTGTCTACAGATGGTCCTGTCCAACTTGCTTTCCTACCAGTTTGTGAATTACTGACATTCACCCATAATTGCCCACATGAACCCATGACTCGGGTGAGCAGAAGGTCCCAGTGATATTGTGATAGCTGGAGGGGTGGGTGAGGCACTAAGCAGGCACAGTCACCTTTCAAGGTGTTCCTCTCTGTCCCTCAGTTCAGACTTCAAAGCCCGCTGACTGGCTCCCTGCTGGAGGGAAGGGCATCTGGCCTCCCTAAAGTTTGGGAAATTTTATTGTGTCCAATTCTGAGCTCCTCCATACAAGAGGGACATGTAGCTGCTGTGGGTCCAGTGGAGGGCAGCAAGGGTGACTGGGAGACTGAAGCATCTCTCTTATGAGGAAAGGCGGAGAGAGCTGAGCCTGGTTGCTGAAGATGTGACTGAGGGGAGACCTCATTATTGTGTGTAAATACCAAAAGGGAGGTTTCCAAGACGATGGAGCCAGGCTCTTCTGGGTCTCAACCACTCGGATATGAGGCAACAGGCAGAAACTGATGCATGGGAAGTTCCATCTGAGCATAAGGAAGAACTTATTAACTGTGCAGATGACCATGCACAGGAACAGATTTCCCAGAGAGACTGTGGAAGTTCCCTCACTGGAGGGACAAGAGCTGTCTGGACGCAGTCTTGTTCCACGTGCTTTAGGACGACCCTGGTTAACCAGGGAGGTTGGACCAGGTGACCACTGCGGTCCCACTCTGATTTTGTGGTTTTGTAGGGCTTCTGCTCCCACACAAATTATTGTGAGCTTCCATCATTA